CTGAGATACAGGTCTGAGTCATTTTGATCAACTGAGACCTGAGACCCAAGCCTGGCGGGACGTTTAGCCAGTGTTGTAGCGGGCGCATGCACAGTAAAACCAGCTGGAGTACTGCTGCGGCTGAGGCCATGTAGCATTTTCTGAAAATTTTTCAGAGGCGTGAGTAGGGTTGGGTATCGTTTGAATTTGAACGATTCTGATTCCGATTGCGATTACTTGTTTCGATTCCGGTTCCTAACGATTCTCGATTCCGATTCTTTTAAGAGGCAGGGTCAAAAAAGTTTAGCTAACCTTGCTAACCAACGGCCTTTCTGAAGGAAATACTCCTTCAGTAAAAATACTCCTTTTGTCACAAATTTTGCATTTTGCCGAGATTTCGTTATTTTTAGAAAAGTGAAGCCACACTTTGGACCGCCGACGTAAGGTACTCATGTTCGACTCGCGCGGTTATGCCAACACTTCCGGTAGACGCTTCTTTGTTGGTGGTGTTCAGCGGTTTCTTCTTCCGGTCGGCGGACTGTGAATATCGAAACTAGGAATTGAAATTTTTACTTTTGAACGATTCCGGGAAAAACGAAAAGTTAGTCTCGGTTCCAATCGATACTCGATTCTCGATACCCAACCCTAGGCGTGAGGCTGTTCGTCTGAAAAGATGCTGCTAGTCGCTGAACACGGTGCACGCGCTGTGTCGATAAGCGAGCCGTCGTCCAGTTCTATTCCTAAAAAGTAAATATAGCCTGACTGGGCTGTAATTAGCTCTTGATCCAGTTGACGAGAGACCCAAGCTTTTCTGATGATTGAGGATCGCTGTCCTGTGAGACAAAAACTCTGTCTGATCAGACTGATCTCATGAAATAGCATGTGTATGCCACGCCAATTCGTATTTCCATTTTTGGCGTGCTATCAAGACGCATAATCGCTTTTCAGCGTGTTTATGAACGCCGTTGACTTAACGTTATATAAATATATGACTTACCTCAACCCCGTCCCTAAACCTAACCGTCACTGGGGTTAATGGCATTTATGACTGGAGATTTGACGTCGTGTACAGACACGCGAAATGACGCGGACGTTAATGGCGTAGACATATACGCATACACGTGGATACACGCGGACAGCTCAAAATGCGGGGAGATAACACGCCACCTGACTCGAAAGTGGCGTATATGTTTACGCAAAAGTCATGATGTCATGTTGGTCTGATTGTGCCAAGATCAGACAATCGTCCAGATAGTTCAATATTCGCAAAACCTGATTCTTAGCGGGGCGAGCGCCGTGTCCATGCACGTTAGATTTCACATGCTTTATATAATCTTTATTATTTATTATAATAATAATAATTATTAATTAGCATAATTGATTAAGATTGGCTTTTTACAATTTATAAGATCTGATCTTCCTCCTGTCTTGAAAATATACCTTCTATTATATCAGATTGTTATTCATTCACTCAGATTTTTTACATCAAGTGATAAAGAAAGCTTGTTGGTAAGTGTACAATCTTTGCAATGGATTGCTCAGTTTCAGCTATTTTTTTCTGAGTGCTTCAGTGTCCTATGTCACTGCAATCTCTTTTGTTTCCAGAGATTCGTGAAATGGTCTCCTCACAGTGAAAATGTGCTTTTAAATTAAAAGTACATTCATAACACTTTTAACATTTTTGAGAATTTTCATAGTACATGAAACACAAAACAAGTGGCTCATGGTGTGTAGCTATATTCTCTCTTCTGGTTAGTGAGTTCCTGAACGGCCTGTTCGCCCCTGCTGGTAGATGCTGTAACTACACTTAGAGGAACACAAAGCATCTTCCTTCTTTGAAGGCCTTTCACACATGTGTGTAGTCTGATGCAATAAATGTATTTTAAAGCAACATAGAAAACTGTTAATATTTCAATAGGTCTGTATTATATTTCAAGCAACTATAACAGCAACTACAAAATTAAAAATGATTGAAGATTGAAGTTGCACATAGGCCTACAGCAATCATTTCAATGCACTCCTTTAACACAGACATTTAAAAGGACAAACTTTCTGTGGACAATAACAGATGAAAAGAAAACGCTAATACCAGTCTAAAATGTTGACTGGTCTTGTTTGTTTCTGGCTGGTCAGGGTCAGTGAGTGTTGTTCAATGAGATTCTGGCAGCCACAAGATGGCGCCACAACACTAGACAGACAATCATCTGTTGACTGTCAATAAATCTAAGAGTCAGAGCATCAAATACTCTCAATAAAGAGAGTCAGAGCATTCAGTTGCATTCTTACCGATGCACCACAGTGGTCACTTATCCCAACAAGCTACAATTACAGTCCTATCAAAGTCTTCATTTCAAATAGGCCTAGATAATAAGTATTCAAATTCATACTTACAGTCTAGCAGAAAGACCCCTCCTTGGTTAAGTTCTTAATATGATGCAGACAGAGACTTGTGGCAGGCGATCTTTTTTATAATAGTTATATGTAGTTTTATTATATTTAGTTTCTCAAAGCTTCCACAAGGTAATAAGTTGTAGTTCAATAAAATCCATTCACAAGTTCCACCAGCAGGTGTCAGGCTTGGATCATCAAACAATGGAGAGGCTGGCTCAGCTTCCAGCGTCTGCCACAAACATGGAATACTGTAATACATGTCACACCTCTTTATTACATATTCAATCTCCTATGCACAACTGTCCAAGATCTTGAACCATGTTTAACTCTTTCAGTCCTTTCACAATTCTAATAAAAAGTTCTGTATTCCTTCATCTTTCTCCTTGCTCGGCCTCTCAACATTCTCCTCCTCTTGGTCTGGAACAACACTTAGGTAATACTTGCTTTTTCCTTTCTATATGTATGCTAAATATTTGTTTCTTAATACTGATTACATTTCATTTATTTGCTCATTTCCTCAATAAAAATAATCCTTTCTAAAAAAACGTCTCACTCTCCCATTAAACATTTCTATCAAAACATGTCTTTGTGTAGTTCATCTGGGCTTCATTGTATGACCAATTTTTTATCACTCTTGTAATTTCATGCGTGTAAATTAAAGACTATCTTTAAAGTTGTATAAACAACTTACATTTAAGAGTTGTAATAAAAGACTATCTATAAAGTCTTAAAACTGTAACACAGATAAAAGACTAAGTCTTATAAACTGCTTATACTGGGAATAACTGAACAAATTGCATGATTTACACAACGATATATACAGACACAGAGAGAGATTCACTCATACACATAAATACACTCAATTAAAGGATTATTAGGAACACCTGTTAAATTTCTCATTAATGCTATTATCTAATCAACCAATCAATACATGTAATTGAATAAATGCTTCAATGCATTTAGGGGTGTGGTCCTGGTCAAGACAATCTCCTGAACTCCAAACTGAATGTCAGAATGGGAAAGAAAGGTGATTTTGAGCGTGGCATGGTGGCTGGTGAGTATTTCACAATCTGCTCAGTTACTGGATTTTCACTCAAAACCATTTCTAGGGTTTAAAAAAAGAATGGTGTGAAAAGGGAAAAACATCCGGTATGCGGCAGTCCTGTGGGCGAAAATGCCTTGTTGATGCTAGAGGTCAGAGGAGAATGGGCCGACTGATTCAAGCTCATAGAAGAGCAACTTTGACTGAAATAACCACTCGTTACAACCGAGGTATGCAGCAAAGCATTTGTGAAGCCACAACCCCACCGGGTACTACTCATCTCCACTACAAGTAGGAAAAAGAGGCTACAATTTGCAAGAGTTCACCAAAATTGGACAGTTGAAGACTGGAAAAATGTTGCCTGGTCTGATGAGTCTCGATTTCTGTTGAGACGTTGAGATGATGAAGTCCGAATTTGGCGTAAACAGAATGAGAACATGGATCCATCATGCCTTGTTACCACTATGAAGGCCGGTTCCTTGATTATTAGTAAATCACCTTCACCTGCTTTCAGATGGAGCGGCATTTACTACAAAAAGCCGCAGTTCACTGACAAGCTGAGCCGAATCGCGTTAAAATCGTGGACATATCGCCAGCGATAATTAATGCGATATGGCTCAGCTTGTCAGTTAATACGGCTCTTCCCAGCTAACAAAGTTAGGTTCTGAGAACGTTTTTCTAACGTTCCATTTTGGTTGTGGGAACGTTAATTTAAAATGTTCTAAAAACGTGGAAATGTCCAGTTTGCTTAACATTGCTGGAACGGTGTCTTAATGTTTGCAGAACGTTGCTGGAACGTTAGCATAATGTTGTTAGAACGTTATCCTAAGGTTAGCATAATGTTGCTGGAACGTTATGAGAACGTTTATCAAACACAAATAACCTGATAAAGACGTTCCGATAACGTTGTTCTAAGAACGTTTTTTATCAACGTAATGAGAACGTTCATCAAATACAAATAACGTGATAAAGACGTTCCAAGAACGTTGTTCTAAGAACGTTTTCTCTTAACGTTACAAGAACGTTAATAATGTTATATGAACGTTCCGAAAACATTATTTTAATAACGTTTTTGTCCTAACATTTACACAACTTTTAAAGAACGTTAGTGAATGTTCTGGGAACGTTCCCTGTAAAGCAAACAATGATCGCCATAACGGTGGCTTAGCCTACAATTTTAGATTTCTCCTTGTGATTCTGCTTTAGGTGTCTTCAATAATGCTCAAACATCACTCAATTAATCACTTAATTATCTCATTAACTTTAACACTCTTGAGTGTGGACTCATATACACTCCCAGGTGTGCACTGGAGTTTTTGTGTACTCTTGACCCTTATATTATCAACTTTAGATTATGTTTGGATGTTGTATCTGAGTTATACCTGCCAGATGAACAAAGAAAAAAATGATCTAATGGTGTTGGTTATGTTATGACATTCATCATTTGAAATTTATGTTTGTGACTAACCCTAACCCTAACCTATTCTGCTGGTTACAGCATGGGATTCTGCATAAATATCCTGCATATAATATAAAGGATTTCTTAAAAGTTGTTTAAAAAAATCTCTCTTTTCTCCCGTCACTGCAGTCTGGGGTCGGACGACAGGCTTCATTCTAGCCTCCACAGTGCTGATGAGGAGGAGGAGGAGGAGGAGGACATCATCATAACCCCCTCCGAAGGACTGCTAGGAAGGACACAGCTTCACTAGGATGCAGCCTTCCGTTTTAGAAGCATCCTCTATTTTCCCCCAACAACAACCCCCACAAATCTCACTACAAGCGGCAAATATCACCAATCGATAGGCTTGGAGGATCGGTTTTCGTAGTTTCAGCGGGATCTGGATTATTCGCATCAAAAGCGTCTGCGCAAGAACAGATTTTTTTAACGAATACTTGATTTTCCACACAGCATCCATTATGTTTATAGGAATGAAGTTCTTTATTTTGCACATAGCGAGTATTTTACTCGTGCAGGGTAAGACGTAGACTATTTGTTTTTAATGTTTATCTCTCTTCCGATCAGGATTCCGCGGCTGTAATTCATTATTTCTGAATCATTTCTCATATTATTGCCCGGTTTCACAGACAAGGTTAAAGCTAGTCCCTTACTAAAATGTATGTTTGAGCTGTTTTAACTGAAAGCAACTTGGACTGGCATGTCTTAAAATAGGTCCTAGGCTATGTCAGTTAAATTGTTTTTATTGTCTAATGTCCTGTTTTTCCTAATACACGTTTATGAAAGATACTAAGGTTAAATATCTTAATTCAACGACAACTGGCGGTAAAATTGGCGTCGTTGAAATAAGAAACCGATCAATCTTTGGAAATTTAAGATATAAAACTGCTTTAGCATATATTGTGCGCTGTAAATAGAGTGGCGCAGGTATGACGTCACTTTGTAGGCAAACTGGCAGTTCGCGTCATCCGGGTTCCCTTGAGATATTACCAAAAACAAGTTCTGTGATCAGTAAACGTTTACGATACTATACTTGTTTTGTCCATTAAGATAATTTTCATAGATGAACACAACTTAAATTTTGAAGCCTAAATGCAGCTAAAGGTAAATGAGTTAGTTTATACAAACACAATTATAAGCATACTATAAGCCTACTGTATAAGTGGACTTAGTTTACCTGTTCAGCGTGATGATGTTTAATCTCCTCGACAGACTCTGTAGTCCCATTTAGCCACTTGTTAGCAACCGCCTTTTTGGGGTAATACTGATGTATTTTATGTCGTAGAATAAAATGTAAAAAGTGCCTCGAGCGTGTACATGTGTTTACCACAGACTTATTTTATTATTGTGTCCTGTGATACTGTTCATTTCTTCTCCAGGTGTGTTTGGTGCTGATGATACAGACAGAGTGTCAGTGATGGAGGGAGATTCAGTCACTCTACACATTAGTGTTAAACAAATCCAACAAGAGAGAATTAAATGGTATTTTAATGACACTTGTGTAGCTCAAATTAACGGAGATCCCTATACAGATAATCAATGTCACGATGATAGTGAGAGATTCAGAGACAGACTGAAGCTGGATCATCAGACTGGATCTCTGACCATCACAAACATTAGTACCACAGACGCTGGACTCTATAAACTACAGATCATCAGCGGCGACAGTGACAGTGAAAAGACCTTCAGCGTTTCTGTCCTCGGTGAGTCATTTAATTAATGGTTTAAAGCAGGCTATGTTTATTATCATTGCTATTTATTATATCTGTGACCATTTTTAAAAAATACAAGTACATTTTTTTGTGTCAATAATCAACTAGTAATCCATCAATTTTTAAATATTTGTGGCAATATGAATAATGAGATTTCTTCAGTCTGACATTCATTTTGTTTATACTTTTTTTTTAAAAAATGCATGTTTACATATCCAGTTATTTCTTATTGTGCACTTTCCCTCCAAAAACGACCCTCCATCACATGTTGGTTTGTGTTTCAGGTGTTTCTGCTGCTGAACGAGATGAAGTGAAGAGGAAGTCAGTGAAGGAGGGAGAATCCGTCATTTTAGATCCTGGTTTAATAAAACACACAAATGATGTGATGACGTGGTATTTTAATGACAATGTCATCGCTGAGATCACTGGAGATCAGAGTAAGACCTGCACAGACGATCAGTGTGAACTTGCTGAGGGACGATTCAGAAACAGACTGAGGCTGGATCATCAAACTGGATCTCTGACCATCACAAACACCAGAACCACAGACACTGGACTCTATAAACTGGAGATAAACAGCAGCAGTATCAGCGTCCGTCGTCGCCGCAGCAGCAACATCAGCATCAGCAGCTTTAAAAGCTTCAGCGTTGCCGTTATTGGTTGAGTATATAATTTAAACTATTCATAATTGAGAAAATTGTAAGTTTCGCTGTGAACTGTTTATAGAAAAAAAAGAGCTTCGACTCACATAAGTTTTCACTTATATTCACTTATTCCATGCTTTTTTATTTTATTTCTATCAGTTCAATCAATATAATACAACAAATATCAGTAAAGTTGATTGTGATTTGATGTCTACTAGTGATTATGTGTGTCTGTTTTTCCTGTTCCAGAATCCAGTCAGTCTGTAGCAGTGATATGTGCTGGTGTTGGTGTTCTCCTGCTGGTTTCTGCGGCTTTAAATCACACCGCTGGTGTGATCAACTGTCACCGGAACAAAGCTACAAAAGCAGGACAGAATGCAAGTATCACATACACACAGTTATTTGTTAATCTAGTCAGGATATAAGCTAATTCACATGTACAAAATAAAAAATGGACCAGATTTACTAACAGCTTGCGCCAGCGCTCTTTTGGCATTACAAAACTACTGTCAGTATTTCCTAAAATATTATATTAAATATACAGTATATATGAAGAGTTCAGATGCAAAAGCCTCTAAATGCCATTTGAAATTTTCTTCTTTAATGATGATTTTTATCAAACTTGTATATTTAAGTTCAGTAATTTTACTTAAATTGCAATGATAATTACCTATTAATTGTTATTTAAGTTTAATTACTGAACTTAAATATATAAGTTTGATAAAAATCATCATTAAAGAAGAAAATTTCAAATGGCATTTAGAGGCTTTTGAATTTGAACTATTCATATATATATATATATATATATATATATATTAGGGCTGTGCAAAAATGAATTGCGATTAATCGCATCCAAAATAAAAGTCTGTGTTTACATAATATATTTGTGTGTGCTTAATGTAATTATTTTGTATATATAAATACATACACATGCATGTATATATTTAAGAAAATGTGTTATTCATATATAAAATATTTATATTTATATAATATAGATTATGTATTTATAAATATATACAGAATTTAAGCACAAATAATTCTTAAATATATACATGCATGCATAGGTATTTATATATACAAAATAATTATATACAGCACACACAAATATATTATGTAAACACAGACTTTTATTTTGGATGCGATTAATCGCAATTAACTTTTGCACAGCCCTAATATATATATATATATATATATTTTTTTTTCATTAACACTCACAGTATGATAACTAGACGATGAGGCCACGTCACTTGGATCATATTTAACTTGATTTAAGCTATTGACATAGTTTTGTTGTTGACTAGCTATACTATACTGTTGAAATAGTGGCAGGCGAGGACTAAAGTGGACTTGGCTGGTTTCTGCTTGTGTCTAGAAAGTGCTAGGACTCTGAAAGTTGTAAAAAGGTTTACAGTGTACGGCAAAATATGTATAGGACCAATGTATGTATGTATTGGGCTATCAAATTGGATGTTGTGAGATTACGCTATCCTATCTAGCCTAGAAGGCTTGATCTACTGCCGTTCGTGTTGTTACATATAGTCAAGAGCAGTGGTCGTCGAAAAGTCATATAGGACTAAAGCACTTTCTAGACACAAGCAGAAACCAGCCAAGTCCACTTTAGTCCTAGCCTGCCACTATTTCAACAGTAAAATCAGTTAACAGCTAATGTAGTGTGCCTAGTGAGAGCTAATCACGTAGCGTTAGCTGCTAGCAGCTTTGACTTTCTAACTAGTATAGCTAGTCGACAACAAAACTGTCAATAGCTTAAATAAAGTTAAATATGATCCAAGTTAAATGGCCATTTTTTGTGTTAATGACAAAAAAGGGCTATTTGGTGATTCAACGAGATATTGGTAACGTTAGATGTCTGAATAGTCTATTTTTGGTCACCGCGTGGGGTCATTAATCCAGTTTTTGACAATTTCAAAGGGACGCCTCTGTAATCCAGTAAGCTTCTTTAAGTTTGTGCGAGTTTTGCTATCAAGAAACTTTGCAGATCTAGAGCGACTTCTGTTCTCAGGGGAATCTGTTTGTTTTCCCCTAAAAAGGGGGCGTTACCCTAGCGTTGGTCAATACCACTGGATGACGCGATTGACCAATCAGAATCAAGTATTCCACAGAGCCGTGTAATAACACCTGATAGACGTCTTTAAGATGTCAGTTTTACATACATTCAAAATCATTACATCTTAAAGACATCTTCTAAACGTCTATTGGACATCTGACAGGAAACGTCCCATAGACGTATTGCAGATGAGCAAAAACAACATCTTCCAGATGAAAACACGAATAGATGTCTCTGTGATGTGTGTGTGCTATCAGGAGCGGACAGTTATTTTTGTGGCTGATCTTATTGCAAACACATCTGTAGGCGTTTCCCATGCTAGGGGATTTACTGAAGTTTGCCCTAGTCAATTTACTGGGATTTGAGCCATTTTTTAAAGCCCAAATAAGCATGTCTTAACCTATTTTCACTTGACATGCTGGAACTGGGAGATAATTTTCTCCCTTCGTGTTCATGTGCACAAAATTTTGAATGCTTTAAATTTATAAACTGTTGCATGTCTGTGCAAAGACAATGCAATACAATTTTTAAGACTGAATATTCATCTAAAGAAACATCCATTTTTTTTTTGAGAAAAAACATTCATCTTGTTCATTTAATTTATCATGTTTTCTTACAGGAGCATCACATTGAAGACTCGTACACTAATAAGGCTTGGATGCCATTGTTGACTGTTGCTGATGAACCGTACCCGACTGAAGATGCCAGATCCACATCACCATTTTTAGCTATTTAAATAAGTTAAAGCATGTAGCAAAATATAGGCTATTTTATGAAAGAAGCACATTATCAGCAATAGAACAGCGAATGCTTCATGTTTTTCTGTAGAGATTTATTTATGATGCTTTTTGTAGCAGTTTAGTACCTCATTCTCTTATGACCAAGAAGTGTATTTTACTACTTTCACACAGCATCTTACTGCGATATGCAAGCACACAGATCATGTGCACAAATATGCAAACATGTCAAACAACATGAATCGACCCTGCACTACTGATAAAACTACTGGAAAAGATATTTGTCACGGATTCAGCCAGCATGCCATCAACAGGTCCTTCATTTGCACTCGTTCACAATCACTGGATTATTAACCTGTTACACCCATCAAAAGCACACACACACACACACACACACACACTCCTGTTGTCTGGTCTCGTCAGTTTCTGCATGAGAATGTATCTACATGTGATCATCGTCTTCCTGCATCTGTCAATCCATCATATTGTTCTTCATCCTGAAAGAAACAAAGACTCCTCAGTGAAGTGTTACCGCTCATGTTCATCTCTTTCCTGCACGATCTAAACTATCTGTGAATAAACACCTGTTTACTTCATCTCTGTCTCACCTCCTGTTTTAATATGTTATCTACCATGTTTTGTTTTTTTTAGACGGGTCATATGCTATTTTATTATTTAATTTGTTTAGTTGTTTCTTTGAGTGAAAAAAGTGTGAAAACCCTGAATCACAGAACAATGATGAATGGGTGTTTCCTATGTACGTTTTGTCCAATAAGACGGGTGAAAGTTTTTGCGCTTTAGCCTACTGTCCTTCCTTTTACGCAACACAACGCGATTAAATGAAATACATTTACTCTTATGTATTTCATACGAATCCATGAATAAGGATTAAATGACATCCGAGCATCATTAAAAGTGAGCGATTTTTTCGGCATTTTTCCTCTTTGTCGCCATCTCTGTTCAAAATCTGCAATTGCAGTCATTCGCAGAATTAGCTTATCCCTCTGGGGACCAATAACGCGTCCCCGCGTTTTGAATTTTTTTTTTTTTTTTCACACAGCTGCAACACAGACTTAAAATACTCCGTCATTAATGGTCATATAAATAAAATCAATACATGATTATAAACTATAGGGTCTTCTTTTTTGTGTAGCCTATACACTCTTATTAATATCAAAACCTTGTGTTTTTGTAAAATAAATAAATGAAACACAGGGTGCGCTTTCAGCTCACTCTGTCTCTGCAAAAAATCTTTTTGAAACGCGTCCGAAAAATGAGCTGTAAGGGCCGGTTCACATATCGCGTCTTTTGCGCGCTCAAGTTCGTTATTTCAAATGTAGGCGCGCGGTATGCGCGCTCATAATGGAAGCGCGGTCGCGGTGCGACGCGCTCGTTTTTTTCAGGCGCGTCCGCGCCGCATCGAGATAAAAACATCTCAACTTTTCAGAATGCCGCAAGCGCACCGTAGGTCACGTGACACGAACCAACCAATCAGCTTCCTCGCCATTTTTGTTACCTCTTCTTAAAATATAACCAAACTGGTCCTTGTCCACTCTGAAATAGGCTTTGAACCTCCCATTGTCCAGGCGGAGTTCCTGAATCAGCTGGTGAAATTCCCCATGGTTCTTGCGTTTTTGTAGCCTAGTATGGGGTGCACCCAAACACTGCAGCGTTTTTTAACTTTTCTAAAATAAATAAATCTTGTAACAGAGTTACAGCAAGGGTTTTTCGGTGGTGGAAATCCATTGCTGAAATTTCCTTCATGTAATGGAGAGCGCAGCTGATGGTTGCTTAGCAACGACAGACGCCTCCGGAGTGCAACCGCCCTAGCGCTTCTTTGGAAAAAGGAGAACGCGTGCGCCTAGCGTTTTCTACGCGTTTTTAGGCGCGATATGTGAACGGCCCCTAACTCATTAAACACTTGTCACAGAGACACGAAAGATCTCTCTTTATGAAGCTGAAATGCTCTTCTTTTAAATGAAGTATATAAAAAAACTATTCTCAGTGATGTAATCTGTATGAAAAGAGAGAGATGCCAGTCTTTTCCCTTTCACCTCATTACAGCGAATGACGTGATAATTAGACCTTATGCCCCGCCCTTTTCAGCGTTGCACTCGTTGTCTTTTGACTTCCGGTCTGTATTTCCACAGCAATCTTGTAGAGGTATGAATGAACTGCTCGTAAAAAAAATTCCCGTTCGACATTTGTTAAGACGTCTGCTTTACAATGCTTATGATAAACATTACAATGCTCATGATAACTTTTGTTAACTCTACAATAAGTAAATCCACTTCACCAGCTAATTACTCCTCGACAGCGATGCCATAGAAATATACAGAACCGGAAGTTCAAAGACAATATTCTAAAGATGACTGGCGCCCACGTTTCTCTGGTGCATAAGGTCTTATGGCAAACCATGGAAACGCCCACAGCGATAAAAACATAGGCCACAGTTTATTATGGATCTAACGTCGTCCTAAACTTTCGTCTTGCTGCGCAGTGAGGAGATCCTGGAAAAAAGTTAACTCAAGTTTCATTTGGAGGAGCACGGATTCGGCTGATGCAGTAAGTCATTATTCTTAAGTGCTTTGTTCTCATCGCGTTATTGAATATTGTCTGTAAACTCCACAAAGACTGTTTAAATATCAAATGCGTGTCTGATAGGAAGGAATAGACGAATTCACAGACGCGCGCGCCGTGCTCCTACATAACATTAGTAAGATAACATTATGTAAAACAAAAACGAGTGTTTAAATATGATTCGGGTATGTGAACGAACGTTCATTTAGTTAGTCAGTTTCTGCTCATATTATTTTCTTTTCAAGATGTTTTAAACTATAACTTTGAACCAAACATTTCTACAAAACGGCCCATAACCTATTTGACCAGGATTTGTTTCCAGGTATGACTAAAAATGGGTTTTGACTTTCATTTATTCTTTGATTTATATATATATATATATATATATATATATGAAGAGTTCAGATGCAAAAGCCATTTGAAATTTTCTTCTATAATGATCATTTTTAGAATGATCATTTTTATCAAACTTGTATAATTAAGTTCAGTAATTTCACTTAAATTGCAATGAAGACTACCTATTTATTGTCATCTAAGTGAAATTACTGAACCTAAATATACAAGCTTGTTAAAAATGATCATTCTAGAAGAAAATTTCAAATGGCACTCAGAGGCTTTTGAACTTTTGAATCTGAATTTCTCATTTATATATATATATATATATATATATATATGTGTGTGTGTGTGTGTGTGTGTGTGTGTGTGTGTGTGTGTGTGTGTGTGTGTGTGTGTGTGTGTGAAAGTATGTATGTTGTCCTTTCAATTTTTTCTTGTCTGACTCACCTCAATGAAAGGCTCATTATTATGCATGCATGTCTGTCACCTAATTATTCATGATGAGGACAGGCCTGTTCACTCCATTCGCATATTGCCTTGGCAAGCAAAAAAAAAGGTTTTTCACAATATAACCCAATTCACAGTTTTATGTGAACGATAAGGAGGATGATTTTCAGATCATTGTGAAGAAAAAACCCTAGGCAACAACATCAATTAGTCAAAAGTCTTGTGGACACATATTTAGTATGTGTTTTGTGGCCTTATTTCAGAAACTTTCATTTTTACTTTTTACAATAACCACGCATAAACAATATTCTCTCAAAAATACAAACATATACAAACATGTTGCTCATAAGTTATTGTTGCCCTGTTTCTGCTAAAATATAGTGTAATTTCACCTGTGCCATTAATATGTTTATAAGCAGCTGAAAAATCACAGATGTCAGGGCATGTCAGAACATCCCAAGGAGGTTAAATAGACAAACATGTATAAAACTGTGTGATAATTATTCACAATATATATTCTTGGTGAATTTTGGTGATCTCAGCATGAGAAATGAATGGGGGAAGAGGGAAGGTGAGACTTGCATCTTGTATGGTGCACAAGAGTGAGTTTAAATGTTAATTTCCTTTGTTCTCTCAGTGAGTACTCTTTTACGTTTTTTCCAGTCTTTCACATTCATTGTGACCATTATGATGAAGCATGTGGTTCTACTTCATGTTCATATTGTGTGCTTTATTACAGACTAATAACTCTTTTCCATTAACTGCAGATTCACATGTAGAAACTAATTAAAGCTTTCTTAGAAAAAAATGTAATAGGCCTAAATTACAAAGTATAGTTGGTTTCTAAAAAGGTCTATATTCTACAACTTTATAAGCTTATTGTCTGGTTTGTGTTTCCCTGGTAACCACTAGAGGTCCTCATTTCCCTCTGTGTCGTTCACTCAGACTACATTTCCCATCATCCTGTTCTGTCACTCATTGTTCATTGCACACCGCTTTTCCTGTCGCCCTGTTAGTGGCTGTGTATACCCTGTCTGTGTCAGTGTTTGTCATGGAGTCCTTGTATTATGTCCCCACACCTCTATTATTTGTATCTGCCTGGTTCTCGTTTGTATTTTATGTTTTGGATTGCCTCATTGGACTATTAATCCTTGCCTGGACTGGTGTTGTGAAGGCGGATCACCCTATAAATAAATACTGCTTTTGGATCTTACGTCTCCTATGTGTGTGTATCGTGACACTTATAAGTCGATCGTTTATCAACCAGGACGCTAATATTAATACTATTTATTTTCATATTAAGAACATAAATTAAGTTCAGTTTATTAGCAACAATCCTGCGATATATGTCATTGATCTCACAGGTGTTTGACTCTGATCCATTTCTTTCACTCCACCTCTCACTGCAGCTGCCTGTACTCTCGGCCATATTTCAGGCGAGGCACAGTCCTTTCGTTTTTTGACACACGCCTCGGAGCTTAACTGTGGTGCCACGGTTAACATCACTTCTTTTGACCTACGCTCCAAAAGCTTGTTTTGCCAACCGCCAAAAACACGAAGAAGGGGAAGAAAAGAAAAGATGTCAAGATGGATTTTAACGTATCTGCATCAGACTGTTAAAAAAAAGAGCTTTCTTTATTCTGTGGCAGTGGTGGCTCTATTAATTTTGTTCTTGCTGTTATTTATTTTACTCTACCATGGTAAGACATTTAAATGTTACTTATCTCTCTGCTTGGTAGCGATAAAAACAAAAGTTACCCAGTTTATTCAGATCTAAAAGTTATACAGATATGAAACAAATGTTCTTTTTAAACCGGTCAAACCAGTTGATCAAATCGTTCGAAACAGTTTGCGTCTATTAGAGACAATATATTTAGAGTAAACTATCCCACATGTTTTCAAACTAGAAAGGTGACTTTACTTTTTCCAAGTAAAGTAGTGTATTCATTTCTAGTTGGAAAGACTTAATTAATTTAGTAAAGAACTTGTTGGTCAAGTACTGTTAACTCAAAATCATTAGTTGTTAACTTATTATTAGTGTTCACATTACTAGGAAAATCTTTGGAGAACGATTGCGTTAACATTTTCAAGCTGAACTAAAAAAATATGTTAAGAAATAAAGCAACAACATTTATTACGCATCAATTACAATGGCATTCCTGGCACCTCTTACATTCTAAACATTTTGAAGCGAAGAAGAAAACAATGAAGTCCGTTAAGACCGCTTCCTCAATGCTGATGTTATCGGTACACTTCTCAACATATCAACGAAAGGTCTGATTGCATTAAAAAGTTGGTGAGTGGCAACAGAGAATTGATGAGCTGAGTAAGAAATTTGACTGTGCTTTTGCTGAAATTAAAGAGATGGAGAATAAGATGTGCCAGATGGAGGGTCGCATGCTTGCCTGCTTTTGGAAAAGCACAACAGCAGATGCGCCTTTTACCCCTCTCGTTATTGAAAAACTGATCAAGGGCACCCCTTTTACCCTTTGGAGCCTTTAGCCCTGTTGTACCCTAAATAAAAACAATGTTTTGTGATTAAAAGCACAAATTTCTTTGTGTGTGTGTCTTATGATGTCCATTAGGATGTTCAGGATCATCCATGATGAGACTCATGTATGTTTGTCTGATGAATGAATCTGTAAATCATTGATGTTCTTCTGCTGTTTATTTGCATTACATTATGAATTCAGACATATTTCTTAACTCAAAATCTTAATGAAAGAAAAAAAAAAACATTTCACAGCACTTTCCTGTTTTATTTGGCTCATAATTAACTGTTATTTTCTTTTCCAGGTTTTTCCAATGTTGATATTTCTGGAGTGTCAGTGTCAGTGATGGAGGGAGATACAGTCACTCTAAACAGTAATGTTCAAACAAACCAACAAGAAAATATGAAATGGTATTTTAATGACATGCAACTAGCTCAAATCAGTGGAGATCTCAGTGATACCTGTACAGATGTTCAGTGTAAAGAGAGATTCAGAGACAGACTGAAGCTGGATCATCAGACTGGATCTCTGACCATCACAAACCTCACAAAAACAGACTCAGGAGAATATATACTAAAGATAATCATCAGCAGAAACAGCATCAGTGAAAAGATTTTCAATGTTACCATTTATGGTGAGTCAATTAATGAATGTTTAAAAGCAGGTTAAAATTATTGCATTTAAATCACAGGATTAATGTTCGCTTTTTTTGCAGAAACATTCAAAGGTGGTAATTTGACTCATGGGGCCCTATTTTAACGATCTGAAACGCAAGTATCAAGCGCAAGGCGCAAGTAACTTTGTGGGCGGGTCTTGGGCGCTGTTACTATTTTACCCGTGGAATAAATGACTCTTGCACCCGACACAAGTTTAAAAGGGGTTGGTCTGAAATAACTTCATTATTCATTTGTGTGGTTTGGGTGCGCATGTTGCATGGCGGATTGTTATTATAACGGCGGGCTTACCAGGCGCGCGCCAGGAGCGGTTCACAGCCGATGAGACCGATGTTCTGGTCAGGGCAGTGAAAGATAGAGAAGTGACGTTGTATGGGGATGGGAGAAAACCACCCAAATCAGCGTCGGTTAAACATTATATACATATGTTTTTTGCCACTATTGGGCAAACAGGTCTGATCCTTCAGTACTACAATTAGCCTTAAAAACTGGGTAATTAGGTACGTATTTTCATCTTCATGTAAACCACAATGATTTCCCTTGTGTTAATATTTTTCCTTGTTATAAAGTTTGATTTGCAAAAATAAAAACTGCTGCATCTGTGTTGATGAGAGAATCAGTGTATGCGCGTTGTGCACCCGCTATTTTATGGCCAAGCATGCGCGCTTAAAATAGCATTGTGAACAACGCGTAACGCGCCACTGACTTTCGACTGGATTTTTCTGGTCAGAGGCGCAACAAGTTTTCTGGAACTGCAAAATACAACCAGGGAATGTTTGGGCCGAAACACGCCTCCTTTTTGCGCCAATCCGCGTCTTTTGAGGAAAAAAGCTAAATAGAAATGAGACATGCGTTAGTGTATAAAGTCATTTGCGCCGGGTGCAAGATAGAGCCCATGGGCTGTTTTCACCTGCACTCAAAAAAAAAAAAAAAAAAAGATAATATGTTGACTTTTTAATGTAAACAGGTTCCACATAACTGGGTTACCTTAAACCAACATAATTTGTTCATGTAACTTCAACAATAGAATTAAGTCATTTAAAGCGACCTAAATAAACTCTGAGCAGAGTGTTAAATGAACACTGAAGCAGTATTAAAGTTAATGAGATAATAAGTGAATAATTGAGCGATGATTGAGCATTATTGAAGACACCTGATGTTACCAAGCAGAATCACTGAAGGAGGAAACCGGAATTTTAGGTCACCATTATGGAGATGAGTGTTTGTTTTAGTTAGGCTCTTGACCCTCATATCATTAACCCTTATGTGCTGTTGTGGCTTTTTTCAGCCACTAAGGGGTATTTTTTAGTCTTAATTTGGCCGTAACTTTTTCTTTGTTTCAGCAAATGGAATGATTTTTGGTGACAAATCTTATTTTGACACATATTTTGGAAAAATGCTTTGAAATTTTTCAAAAACTCAACAGTACACTCTGGGCAAATTCACTACCCTTTCGTTATGTTCGTGGCTGAAAAAAGCCACTACTTTAAACTGCTGTAAAAATGTATCAGATAAATATTTTTTTCAAATTTTTTTGCATAAATCTATTAACCGACCTCAGTCCTGATCAAAACTACTAAATGTTTAAAAAAAATTCAGGATTTTAACTCTTTAATTGCCAAATTTATAAATGATGTCACTGAATTTTATGGTGTCATGGCTTTGCAATCAAAAAATGTGGTTATAATGGAAGTCAATGGGGCAAAAACAGCCACGAACAGTAAATGAGGGAGAAAAAGTTAAAATCTGATGCTACACAAAAACTAACAATGCATCAAAACCAATGTTGTTTCTAATCTTTGACATGTCCAAGACTGTGATAAAAGGTAAAAAAAAAATCCAGTCCACAATCATATTTTATATTGAAAATAAGTCATTTTGTGTTTTTTCCCCCCCAAATCAGTGACATCATTTATGAATTTGGCAATTAAAGAGTTAAAATCCTGAATTTTTAAAAAAAATTTAGTAGTTTTGATCAGGACTGAGGTCGGTTAATAGATTTATGCAAAAAAATTTGAAAAAAATATTTATCTGATACATTTGTACATTTTCTGATACAGCAGTTTAAAGTAGTGGCTTTTTTCAGCCACGAACATAACGAAAGGGTAGTGAATTTGAACAATGCACAAGGGTTAACTTTAGATTATGTTTGGCTGCTGTATCTGAGTTATAACAGCCAGATGAACAAATAAACAAGGTCACCTGATGGTGTTGATTGTGTTTTAACATAATCATTATTTCACAATCGTTTAACCTAAACTCACCTGATATCATTGTCACCATTGTTGAGATTCACAGTCTGATTCTTGATGTCTGTTTATGATGCCTATGTAAGTCTAGGCATTAGGTCACTAGACGGAGAGTAGACGGTCTTTTCTGACGGCTTTAACACATTCGACCACATGAGTGTTTAAAACAAATAAAATGTTGCTTTTCAAAGAGCATGAGAAATTGAATTCTCATCCACAGTGCTTTTGCGTTGTTATTTTTGTTTGTATTCAAATAGATTATTCAATCAGTTGTCGGTTTGTGTTTCAGTGGTTCCGGGTAACGTTAGGCCTAACGTTACAGAGCAAATCATTTCACTGAAGGAGGGAGTATCTGTTACTTTAGATCCTGGTGTAATAAAATACCTCAACGATTTGTTCACATGGCATTTTAATGACACTCTCATCGCTGAAATCACTGGATATCGAGCTAAGATCTGTGAAGTTGAACAGTGTTATAGGAAATTCAGAGACAGACTGGAGCTGGACTATGATACTGCATCTCTGCGCATCCATGGCATCAGAACCACAGACTCTGGACTCTATAAACTACAGATCAACACTATCAGTGTGAAGAGCTTTGGTGTTTTTGTTTGTGAGTATAACTTACTTCCCTTGAGCACTTTTAAAATATAGTTATTTTTTATCGATCCAGTGAATGCTTTCATAGTGTGCTATTAAAAAAAATTACGTTAGTTATTATCAGTCACTCACTAGTAATAATGTCTGTCTTCATCTGTTCTAGATACAATTGAACCTTCAGGTGCTGTAGCAGGATTAAGGCCAGCTGCTGTTCTGCTTTTTGCCGCTGCTGTAGTTGTGGTGCTTTAATACAAGCAATATAAGAGAATGTGAGTATTACACACAGCAATACATACCATAATGAATACAGCCTCATTCAAACTTTCAGTTCAAATCCGATCACATTTAATGCGACTTTTACAAATCCGTTTTAAACCTCACACAGTCCAGTCGCGGTTTCAGTCTGAACGCTCTGATCAGTGATTTATCCCACTTTCTCACGCCACATAAAATAAGCTGAAATTTGCTGCAGTAACAAGGTTGTGTTGTTGCAAAGTGTCAGAGAATAGAATATTACAATATAATAGAATCGAACTTTGAGCCTGGCAATTAATAACTCAATATTTCTATTGCAAGGCCCTTTATGTTGTTGTTATTTTTTCTGTCGTCTCCGGTCGTGTCCATATGTGAATTGTGTGAGGCCTGCCCAACGACGTCCAACGACAGTTTCCGATACGCAGGTGAAGGTTTTTTTCACTGTGGGAAAGTAATTTAATTACAATTCAATTTTCATCTGAATCCATTTTAGCACAACCTTGAATTTAGATTGGAATCTAGCAATATATATATGATTATTCTGTTTAACTCTTTACTTTATTTTACCCGTTCGTGTTAGGAATCAATGTTGCTTTGAGGTCATCACGCCGGCGATTTAACGAACTCATCAGTTTTTGGTCACTAAACAATAATTATATAAGCCAATAATTAGGTAATTGGCTAATAGTCACATTCCCACTCACACAATCAGAAATATTTTGTATAGCCCCCTTGGTCTGTATACATTTGAATTAAAGTAACGGTTTACAAAACCAAGTTCACTTGAATTAGAACCAAATATTAATCACAACTCTAAAAACCCAGTTGGTGTGCCCTATGCCCCACTCAAAACTGGATTTAGTCCGTCACTAATATGAGCAGATTTGCAGTAACATACGAATCTGCTTAATCTACTTGGGGAAAAATAATAATTTAGAGTCAGAATAAATTAAAAATATAACAATTTATTAGTCAGGTAAGTGTTTCATGCCAATTACATAACCAGTTCAAATATAATCAATACAATAACATATAAATGCTACCTGACATAAGAAAAATACATGATGACGACGAGTGTCTTGAGGACATTCAGCTGTTTTCAACTATCGCCTTGAGCCTCTGAAGTCATTTCTTTAAGTACTCCGAAACTGAAACAGAAACAGAAACTTCTTTCACATGGAAACATTTGCTAACACAATGGGAATTTACATTCAGAGATTACACCTTTTGAGAGAAGGACACCATTTGCCCGGAAGACACACCCTCCTCTGTAAGCCTTATATTTCTAAAGCTCTTAAAACCTTATTACCTTTTGGTTTACTTCTGTGGAGACGAGACCATTGACCAGTCGCAGACATTTCAGATGAGACCAAACATGTATACTACTGTATGATAATTATTCACATTAAATCATATAGATTTTTGGGGGAATTTTGGTGATCTCGGCATGAGAGAGAAGGAACGAGGAAGCAACCCTTTCCCTCTTTCTGTGAAAGAGGTGTAGATTATGATGATACTGAGGTGTGACTTGCGTCTAGGATGGGGATCCTAGTTTCTCAAGAAAGAGTTAACTTTCTTGAGAAAAAGAAAGAGTTAAGGAAATTTATTAATTTCCTCTGTTTTCTCAGTGTTGCCCTCTCTTCCAGTTCTTCCAGCTTTTCCAGTCTTACAATTGCTTGAGTTTATTTTGTTCATTAGATCGAAAGATCTGAAAAAAGACACATATTTACCCACCCATAGACCCTCCCTCGAAGAAATCAGGACAGAAGTGTTTGAAAGTGGACACGAGATGGATTAAAACACCATGTGTAAACTGGAATGTGTCTCGCTCGTCTACTTGGGTTCCGACTGACCAAAACGTCAGACCTTAATATTGATATTAAGACTGACCTTAAAGGGGTCATGAAGTGGCTTTTTACATTTTTTATATTGTTGTCTGAGGTCAACTTCTGACGTTCGATTGGTTTTTACACCAAAAACATGAAAATGAATAAATAATAGGCTATTTTCTACCCTAGTTTTGGTGTTAATAAAAAGCTTTTATTGGACCAACAAGGCCATTTTCAGTTCTGAAACTTAAAGGATATTCTTATAATATGATGACCTCTTAGATGTCAAAAGCTCAAGGAAAATTTGATTTCTCAGTTCATCACCCCTTTAATATCAGTGTAAACCGGGCCAAATTGTAAATCAAATTCCAATCGGATACACAAATAAGCCTACTCTGACAGCATCTGCATTTACATCGACTCTACTAATCCGCTTGTAATCGGACTAAGCAGCACAGTCGGAATAAAAGTCACGTCACCACATCTATCGGAATGAATTGGCCAAATCTGATTAAAATTTTATTTGGATTGTATGGCTGGCTGTTTGTGAAAGATAAATTAATGTATTAATGTGTTAATGTAAATCTCACTGCTTCAGCCTTGGAAGCATTTAGTACAGAAGATGAAACTGATTCAGTTTATCAGACTATCAGCTATCTTGTCTTTTATTGTTTACATATCTTGTCGTACACTTTCCCTCCAGCATCTGTTGGTTTGTGTTCCAGGTGTTTTTATGCTGCTGAACGAGATGAAGTGAAGAGGAAATCAGTGAAAGAGACCGATATTAATTACGGATTTAGCCCGCATGCCATCAACAGGTCCTTCATCTGCACTCGTTCACAAAAGCTCACACACGCACTCTTGTCGTCTGGTATTATCAGTCTGCATGAGAATGTATCTACCTTATTTATTTAACTTCGCTGTCTTCCTCCATCCATCGACCATCCTGAAAAGAAACAAAGACTCCTCAGTGAAGTGTTACCGCTCATGTTCATCTCTTTCCTGCACGATCTAAACTATCTGTGAATAAACACCTGTTAACTTCGCCTCTGTCTCACCTCCTGTTTTATGACAATATTATGATGCATGTGTGTATCTATGTTTTTTAAACCGTTCTAATGATGCTAAATTTGTTAATTATTTTGTTCAGTTGTTTGGGTGTAATAGAGAAAAAAAATCACATATAGCCTAGGCTATTCCAAGTCTGTAAGGGATGTAACCCGTTCACACCTCAGGTCTGTCCATTTAATTCAGTAATGATTCAAAAGCTGGTTTAACGAGAATTATAAAACGGTTAGTTCCAATCCTTGATTCTGATTGGTCAATAGCTGTGCTTTATTCATGATTAAACACGGCTATGACAGCTTCACCCAACGGTTCTATTGATCACTGCGCAACACTGCAGTTATGTTGTTTTTATTTTGAGCTTTCATGCATATTACACATTGGAACGTTGTTGCTGTTCTCGGTCAGGGACTATTTTTTTCTAGCCGAAGGAAGGATTTTAGTGATTTTACTTCATGAACGTTTTTTTTTTTTCCTTTGATATTTTGATTGTGTGATAACCGTTTTATAAAAGCAATAAGGTACTCAAGGCAAGTGCTGTATTGTGAAAAAGTAACGGCTGATGGGGTAGCGTCATCGTTGTGTCTAACAACTCCCTCCTGCCGTAACGTTACTTATTCACAACACAGTACACCCTCGAGTAACTTATTGCTTACTACTAACTAAAGGATAGTGGAAAATCAGACATTGTTGAACTTGAGATCTTTGCTTTGATTGTGAATCATAGAAAGGAAGAAATAAGTTAAAAATGAAGAGATTTGGAAATCAATGTCATTACAGAGAAGAATATATTTCAGAAATGCACAGAAACAGTTATTGGTTTGTATAGATTTGAATTTGATTAGAAGGATATCGTTTTTTCTTCTCATTTAGGCGTAGGCCAATTCCTTTTGTTCAACGAGGCTTTACACGTCATCCCAGTAGGTGGAGAATACGCCACAAACTGAAACTGCCAACAGCCTTTGCAAACACTAAAGAATAAGGAAAGAGATTAGAAGGAGAAGGGGAAGGGAAGAATGGGGGAAGGGCAACGCAGTAAAAACAGAATGCAGACTGTAAAAAAGGGATTTATTTTTTATTTATTTTTTGTGTGAAATGGCCGATCGATTAAATGTCTTATTGGTGTTAATGCTTTTATTCGACCATGGTAAGACATTTATGTTACAATCTCTCTTCCCGCTAACGTTTAAACGAAAGTGACCCGGTTTCCCGCGTGATTTCAACGATGTTTTGTGATTTAAGCACTTTTTTCCTGTCTTAAACGATGTTCATCAAGATTAAGATCATTCACTCGTTTTTGTCTGAAAGTGTAAATCAATGATTACAATGATGCATTATGAACTCTTAGAAAAAAAATTTCTCAACTTGATTACATGTTGTTTATTTTTGTTTGGCTCAGAAATAACATACTTTTCTTTTTCAGTTTTTTTCTATCCTTATATTGTCGGAGTGTCAGTGATGGAGGGAGATTCAGTCACCCTGAACACTGATGCTGAAACAAAGCAACAAGAAGATATTAAATGGTATTTTAATGACATTCGAATAGCTGAAATCAGTGGAGATCTCAGTGATATCTGTACAGATGTTCAGTGTGAAGATGGAGATGAGAGATTCAGAAACAGACTGAAGCTGGATAATCAGACTGGATCTCTGACCATCACGAACATTACAAACACACTCTCTGGACTCTATGAACTGAAGCTCATCAGCAGCAGCAGCATCAGTGAAAAGATCTTCAATGTTACTGTGTATGGTAAGTCAATTAATGAATATTAGCAGGTTGAATAAGTTTAAATCAACATTCAGAGGTGTTCTTTTCTCTTGTATTTGAATGCAGTTAACACGGTTCGCTTTGCTCATGCTTGTTTGAAAGTGTGTTTATCCTTTTACTTGTCTATCCCTTTCAAAACAGTTACTGTTAAAGGATTTAATGTAATATTAATGTTTTTAATTAATGTTTCTTTTTAAAGAGTATGAGCAATTGTTCTTATATCAACAGTGCTTTTCCATTGTTGTTGATCCTTCAGTCGTCTGTTGGTTTGTGTTTCAGGTGTTCCTGCTACAGAACAGGATCACAAGTCAGTGAAGGAGGGAGAATCTGTTACTTTAGATCCTGGAGTAAGAAAACCAAGTGATGTGATGACGTGGTATTATAATGACATTCTCATTGCTGAAATCAGTAGATATCAGAGTAAGATCTGTGAAGATGAACAGTGTAAAGAGAGATTCAGAGACAGACTGAAGCTGGATCATCAGACTGGATCTCTGACCATCACACACACCACAAAAGCAGACTCTGGACTCTATAAACTGAATATCATCAGCGGCCTTCGTCGTATCAACAGCGGTGTCAGTGTGAAGCGCTTCGGTGTCACTGTCAGTGAGTATAACTTAGTTCCCATGAGCAATTTAAAATATAGTTGTTGCTTTTTTTTTTTTAGAAAAAGGGCAATTAGAAAAAAAATATATATCGAAAATACATGAGCACACGGTGTTGCGATGCTGTTATTTATTTATTTATTATTAAAAGATGCTGCCAATTAATAGTAAAATCAATGACATACAATTTATGACCAAAGTACAAAGGTGTAAATATCAGACAAAGTTATTGTTAATGTTGGTTATTATCAGTCACTCTCTATTAATAATGTCTGTTTCTCTGTAGCGGGTCTAGATTCAGGTCTGTCTTCAGGAGCTGTCGCAGGAATAGTTGTTGCTGTTCTGTTGGTTTTTGCAGTTGTTGTTGCTGGTGTGATTTACTACCGCAAGCAGAAAGCAGGACAATATGGTGAGTATTACATATAGCTGAATCAACAAGATGGAAATTGTTTGTAAATAATTTATATATGTATTTTATTCTTATTAACAAAGTGATTTGTTTTTTTTCATTATCATTAAACAGAGGGCGGAACGCGACAGGTAAGATCATACTATAGCCTCTTTCAAGTTCTGATCAGATTGTGACTTGCAATGCGATTTTTACAAATCCGGTTTGATCGTCATTCATATGTGGTTTGACTGCCAGTTCTTGAAATCTGTTTCAGTCTGATAACATTTCACGTGGTTTATCCCACTTCCTCATCACACATAAAATATGCTGTCAATAAGGCCATGTTTACAATTGGTATTAAAGGGATAGTTCACTTTGAAATTAATTTTTGATATGTTTTATCTTACCTCAAGGGCATCCAAGATGTAGGTATCTTTGTTTCTACAGTATTTTCAATTTTGATATTTTTAGTTCAAACCGTTCTTGTCTGTCAGTCATATAATGGAGGTCTATGGTCACCACCTCAAAAAGCATGCACAGAGAAGTCCAAATTAAACATGATTTAATGACTCGTAAATGTAAAAACACATTGATGGCCTAAGACACGAAACGAGCGGTTTGTGTGAGAAAACGAACAGTATTTATATCGTTTTTACCTCTTCAGTCTTATATAAGTATACTTATAATGTATACTTAAAAATATACTTGAACATTACCTAAGTATACTTCATAAAATGAACTTGAAGTATACTTCTTTTTAGTAAGGGTATCTTGTCTTTATTGTGTTGTAGGGTTGTTTCTGGTGTGTGAGATCCAAAAGACACATTTCCTATTAACTTTATTTATCACAATGCTTGTAGATGTTAAGCTCACAGTTCTGATGCACAAACACACCGAAAATCCCACAAGTTTCCTTTCACCCACATGTCTTGACACGCTCAAAAATGTGCTTCACATTACACACCTGACTTCTCTTACTATACTCTCTGGCTACCGTTATACCGGTTAAATTTCTCCACCCAGTGTCCGACAATAGAATTACAACAACAAACATTCAATGGCTCTTAAACAATGTGTTAAATTTGCAGGAAAATAAAACTGTTCTACATTTTGCAAACACTGAAATAAATGCAAAATTCTCTGTGTGTGTTCCTTTAATCAGAATGAAGCTGGTGGCGGTGAGATGCATAGGACATACGTTTAAACACTACTGATGGGACGTCCTATAATCAGACGGAGGCTGCCAGTGAGATACCAATATTGTATATAACCATTTATTACACTGTAAAAAGGACAGTGAAGAGGCTATAGAAAATGAGAGAGAACTTTTTTGAGCAGTGTTTTTTCTTTCATATCTGTAAGTCTAAATAGGTCACATATCCTGCTGGAAAACCCTCACAAATGTACACAAATATGTGTTTTTTTTCTTCAAGACCACGCTGAGTCAAGCAGCAGGTTCTGATTGCAGGTTGGATTGAGTCTGAACTACTGAGACTTTAGATGTTGTTACTGGTATAGTTGCTGTTACTAGAAAAAAACTGATTTTGTTATGATAGTTTGTGAAACACTTTACTGAGATATATTTAATGCTGTGCATTTATGATATGGCAGTTGTACTGCTTAAAGCAGGTAGAAGAATTACTACTCCGCGCTGTTTGTCTCTTTAGACTTGCCGTAGTTCTCAATGTTTACAACCCTGAAACACAGGTGAGCATTTTTCATCATCCTCCTTTACACGTTTTGTCTTCATAGCCCTGAAGAACTTATGTCTGTAAGTGATCGTTAAAGTGCATTTTTATGACAACCAATCGTTTGAATTACATATTTGCGTGAAAAGTGTTGAAAAAGAGTGAGGGTAAAGATGCTAATCGCGTTAGCCTGTCTATAGCGTTTTCCATGTTAAGTTAGCATTCATGCTAATCGCTATACAACCATGTGTGGTAACTGGTTAATGGTTTAATGTATGTTACTGTATTTTGTGTTTTTCAAAGTGGTATTAATCCTGTATTAATACGAATTTAACCAATTCAATTTTATTAATAAGTACTTTTTGTAGTTTCACAGTGCTTCTGATAAAGCATCCTAAAAGTCCTGCTGCTTCAGCTGTCTGCCAAGCTAGAAGTCCTACCCAAATTTTAGTAGGGGCAGAAAAGCGGTTGTTAATGTATTGAAAATACTTAAAGTGATCGATTTCCGAACACATTTCATTCATTGCCGGGTTCTTTCACTTGACATGTCGTTAGGTTATGTGTGCAGACATTCTTTGATCATTTCTATACTGAGTTTATTGATTTTGTATTGTTTTTCAACTCAATTTGTGAAATTGTGTTATACATTGCAATGTTTACATTTCCATGTGGTGCTTTTAATGCATTGCAGAGCATTTTTTACTTAAAACTGTCTAAAAAGACTTATAGAGTATTTTTTTTTATAAAACTCATCTGTGTGACAAGTTTTAACTTTGTCAGTTTAAAATAAAGTGTAATTCCCTTTTGTTAAAACACCTGGCTGTGTAAGATTATTTTGACGGATGTAGTGCTTGGGGTTCAACTAGGTTTATTACAGTATTGTTATGCTTTAGTACAGTCAAAACCTTACATATGGTTTAAGAATCTTGAGTTCTGATGAAGTGGGTAATTTTGAGAAAATTGCCTTCAAAGATTTGTATTACAATTTAAAGCTACCGACGCAAATTAATTGCAATAAAATAAACAATTGTATTTTTTATATTTTCTTAAATTTAAGAATAGTACAGTTAAATTTCATTTTAAAAATACTTAATCCTTCATTTTAAGCAAATAAAATAAGCCTACGGAAAATAATTCGTAAATTGAGTCTATTTCCAAAAAAAAGTGGAGTATCCCTTTAAGTGGGCAAAAGGCATCTTTCTACATTGACAGTCATGTATGTATCCATTCAAGTATAGAAGATGTTTCTTAGAATAGACTTGTGTTTTCCCCTGTTGCTGAAAGAAGTTTCAATATTGAGTCATCAGTCACATGAAATTATATCTTTTAAACTTATCTTTTAATTTTAGGCTACACACCCACACAGACCAAACAATGTTTTGTTGGATATGAATATGATCTTTATAAAACAGAGACAGGATGTGGAGACTAAAGGTGTGAGATCAAGAACAGTTGAGGCTTTCTAGAAATAACTTTTGCTTGTTGGAGCTGGATAAAAATATAGACACTGGCAACTACAGGAGTATATACTAAGATGAATGATAGAGATGCATACGCCATTAATATTTTACAATCACACTGTAAGATCTCAAAATAATGCCACGGTCTAAAGTGCCAATCTTTTTTCTGCCAGACTCATTGTTTCATTGTAAAGCTGTGCAGAGCGGAAGTCAAATGCAGAGCTTCATATGTGCAGAAATGGAAACGTCTTCAACCACATGGCGCATGCAATTTCACCTCAGATATAAACATCCTACTGTGGTCGCACGATGATTATTATGCTCTCTGTCCACCCAAAAGATCAAAACATTTCTGAACAAAATGAAGCAGGCATGACTTTTTCATAAATTTGTTTTCCAGATGTAGCTACATGTATGTCTCCTTTAGTTGAGTTAGTTAGAAGCTTCAATTTGCATACTTGATACACCAGAACCAATGAGGTTTCTTTAATCTTTTTTAAGCTTAAAAAAAAAGAGACTTTCAATGTGTAACAAGTGGCTCGCGACACCAGTTATAAAACACTCGATTCTTGGCTGTGTAGCTTTTTCTGGATCTTTTATTCCCCTGATACAAGACAAAAATAAGCACCCTTGAGGTAATGAGGTATGAGGAAATTGCCTTGTTTTCTCTCCCATTCAGTTGCAATACAAAACGGTAAAAACAGGAGCCGTACATTGTGTAAAGAAAAATCACATTACAAACAAAAACAGTATAAAACAGAAAAAATACTTGATACAAAACACATACACAGTCTCTTTGAGTGAATTGCACTAAATATTCTCTATAAAATAAATATGATGTGTAATTGTCATCATGTGCTCTTATTTCCACATATTTTGACCAGGAGACAAAAATACAACTCAAAATGGGTAAAATGACAAAAAATAATCACACAAGTTAGTAAAAAAATAACATTATATACATTAATTGGAGTGCAAATATAGACATAAAAGCGATAATTACAAAACGAAGAGTATCAAACGTCCTTTCTCATTCAGTTACACTCATAAATGAAAACTATCCCATAATTTACTTAGCCTCACGCATCCTAGGTGTGTTTGACTTTCTTCATTCAGTCGAACACAATCTGACTTATATTCAACAATATCCTAGCTCTTCCCAGTTTTATTATGACATTACATCTGTCCAAGTTTTAGAATCTGTAAAAAGTGCATCTGTCCATCATAAAAGTAAATCATATGTCACCCAAGTGGGTGAATAAATGCCTTCTAAAGCAAAGCAATGGGTTTTAGCAGCTAAAATATCCATAATTAAAACTTCATACATTAAAGTCACTAGCTTCCAGAAACAGCCGTATGCGCACACATGATTGTGTTCGACTGAAAAAAGAAAGGTATATACACATTGGATGGGTTTGGAGCCAGTAAATTATGGGTGAACTGTTCCTTTAAGAGTCAGTTTTTCTCCTATGGGTCAAACAAGGCTGGTTCTTCGCTGGATTTGGGTTTTCGCTTAGCAACTTGTGCATAAACAACATGATTCTCCTCTTTAAGTTTCTGTAAAAAAAACATCACGCAAGATATAATACTAATAGAATTATTATATTAAAATGTGGCTGAAGAATGATTGAGATTCAATGTGAAATCATGCTTTTTTTAATAACAGTGATGCAATGTAATTTGATGAAATATTTAACAACTTCTTACTGCTAAGCTATCTTACTCGGAACAAATTTTTGTCTTAAATGAGTAGTTCACTTAAAAAAAAAAAAAACTTTTGTTGATAATTTACTCACCCCCATATCATCCAAGATGTCCATGTCATTCTTTCTTCAGTCGAAAAGAAATTAAGGTTTTTGATGAAAACATTCCAGGATTTTCTCCATATAATGGACTTTAATGGGAACCAAACGGTTCAAGGTCCAAAAGAGAGTTTCAGTGCAGCTTCAAAGGGCTTTAAACGACACCAGACAATGAATAAAGGTCTTATCTAGCGAAACGAGCGGCCATTTCAAAAATAAATAAAAATGTGCGTTTGTGACTCTCCTGTTCGAACTTGTTTTTTAGTCATTTTTTTTTTTTAGTCATTTTGTTCATTTCTTTTAAAGCCATTTGAAGCTGCACTGAAACTCTCATTTGGACCTTAAATCGTATATGGATGTTTTCAACAAAAACCTTAATTTCTTTTCGACTGAAGAAAGAAAGACATGGACATCTTGGATAATATGGGGGTGAGTAAATTATCAGCAAAAGTTTTTTTGTAAAAGCAAACTACTCCTTTAAGAGCAATTATCGAGCAAAGAGTTGAATACAGAAACCACCGGTCAAATTCACTGATTTTACAAAAGCATTCGACAGTGTACTTCATTGCACATTTTGGAAAATTGTTCACTCATACGGCATCCCGGATCATTTTATTGTACCGTTATGTATAACGTTATCGTTTTTTTTTTTTTTTTTACATTGAATGATAATGTAATGGCTTCTATAATATCTAATACAATGCTGTTGCGATCATGATACAGACTAAATGCAGAGATTAAAATATCTTACCGATTTGTGTGCATTTCCTCTGTTGCTTATTGTGTCAGCATACGTTATTTCTACATCACAAGTCGTCTCTGTTAAAATAATAATAATCAAAGATGAATTAGCATTCATGAATTTGACATTATAGCAGAGCATGCAGTAATTATATTTAAAACAATATTTTAACACGTAATTTTCGATGAACACATTGTCGTTCATAGCAATTTTAATTTGATCACCAGCAGAAAGCTGAATCTTTACACATGCACCATTACATTCATAAACTGTATAAAAATGTGTTATTATTGAACTAATGTAGATAAGCATTCTGTGTTCGCATTTACAGTGTAATTTGATTCGATTTATGAGAGACGAGTAGAATGTGGCCCGGTGACATTATATGCAAACATTTGCCGAAACCCAGGAACTGCCCACGTCACCCGAAACCAAGAAACTGCTGTTTGTTCAATTAAAAAGAAACTAAAAGGCGTTTACTACTAAAAATATGACATTTAAAGTATTTTTTTTATTTATAAAAAAAGCTGTAGGTAACACTTGCCTTCTTGATGTTTTAATCTTTGTTTTTTACAGATGCAGAAGATCCAAACTGCAACAATAATCATCAGAGATCCAGCAGAGATCAACACTATTAGAGACCTTAAGACTGGAGGACCTGAAGGAGACATTAATGTAAGTGAGTGCGTCAGTGTGATCTACACCAGAAGACAGAGATCAGGTCAGTAAACACACACACACACACACACACACATATATGATGAGTGGTGCCGTACCTGCACATGTGTGTCTGCAGAGTGTGTTGATGTCCAGATGTGTGGTCTGGTTGCTGATGGGATTGTTCAGCACACAGCTGTAGGTGTTTTTATCCTGATATTCCACCTCCAGAGGTAGAGAGAGACTGATGCTGAGATCACACACACTGATGCTGGACAATACACTCATTCCTGCGTACCAGGACAGAGTCGCATCACACACACTCAACACTGATGATGAACACACCACTGAACAATTTGAAGAACAGTGTGAAGAGTTACTGATGATGACAGGAACAGGCAGACGAGCTGAGAAACATGAGAGAATAAAGAGAAATCTGGATAAATGTAATCAACAATCATATTTTTGGATCAGTGTGTTGAGTGAGTGTTTAGTGTGTTGACAGTTAGTTATTGTGTCTGTAATCTCATAATATAAATGATTAAACATTTCAATATGTCTCGACTCACCATAGACAGAAACATTGAACGTTTTAAATGACAGTTTAGATGCAAATATCTGTAGTGTATAAACTCCAGTGTGTTCAGTTGTGGTGTGTGTGATGATCAGAGATCCAGTTTGATCGTCCAGCTTCAGTCTGTCTCTGAATCTCCCATCAGGAACATCATCATATGTGGAGAAGATTTGTTTCTTTTTTTTAATTTTAGCTATAAGAGATTTTTCAGCTCCAAATGTCCATGTTATGTCGTCATTCCGTATTTCATTAATATCAGTGTTTAGAGTGACAGAATCTCCCTCCATCAAGTACACTGACTGTATTGCATTTGTTTCGGCCCCAAACACACCTAAAGAACATGAAGATGGACAGATTAAGATTGATTTACAAAACCTGAAATCAGATATAGATTGAATTGTTCAAATATGAACAGAAGCAACAGCAAAGACACAAAAGCGAATTAAAAAGGTAAATATTTTATGTTTTTTATTATTATTATTATCTACTATAAAGTCAAATCAATGTGTGAAGTTACATAAAATATATATAAAAAAACAATACATAATGATAATAATCACAGTTTGAAAGTACAAGTTAAATCCTGCTGGAAATATTCAATATAGGAAATTGCTGGGAAGAGTGTGCATTTGTAATCATTGAAATTAAGATACAGAAAATCACCAAAAAACTTTGAGATTTGAAAGTGGTTCAATTGAGGTTTTGGATTTCTTAGCGACAGAAATTGTTTAGTCACAAATAGAGGGTTGGAAATTTCCACTTAAAAAGAGACCTGAATTTAAAGAAACACGTCCAAGTAGAAAATAATGTAATCTGAACTAAGGCAGCAGCTTTATTTCCCTGAAACTTTATTTAAACCATAAAATGTTTTTTGACTTACCCATCAGACTCCAGCAGCAGAAACTGAACAAAAAAAACATCCGGACAATATTGTACAGTCCTTCAGCAAAACGAAAAGATATGATCGTCTTGCTAAAAAAAACTACTGCTCAACCTGTCTTTGAGACTTTCGATCCTCCTACTTTACAAACACACACACACACACACACACACACACACACACACAGGTCTATACCTATATAAGGTATGTGTATTTATTAAGTGATAATGGTGGAAGACATTTTCTTCTTCTTCTATTAACTACATTTTTGAAAGATATAGTTGTGTGAATATGTAAAAAAAAAAGTGTGAAATTTAGTCTAACCCCTAGTGGTTTAAAAATGGTTGTATATATTCAGTTTATTCAATTGTGTGAAAAGATCAAAGTATAAAGTGGAAATCTGTCTGGCATCTCACATAACCAGTTTGCCTAAAGCTCAGCTTTTGAGTGAAACTGAAACTTCTGCGGTCGTTTGTCTTCAGAAATGTTATTTGATCTGATGGTGGACAAATTTGTGTGAGAGAGAAAGGGTATATAGGGCATGTGTTTTAGTTTGGCGAGGGGCATTTTCCTGCTTCTATGCAAAGCTCAGACTCTTTAATCTACAGATAAGAAACTACGAGATAAGAAACTACCGTTGAAAAAGACAAGTAGGCGAAGCATCACTTCTGCTCGGAAATCTGTCAGTGGGAGGGGCTTGTGGTCCAAGTGGAAGCAAGTAGGCGGAAACCTGCAAACGGTTAACTATGTAGGCACAACAGATTATGGCAGAAACGAGCAATTCTAAACTAATTTTAGTTTAGTTGTTTAGCTTCCACATGTGCGTCACATTCTTTATTGGTCCAACTGGGAACATCATCTGTGGTGATGCCAAACCCCCTTATGGAAGAAGAAAGTCACGTTTACAACTTTGACAATGAGCGCTTATCAGGATCAAATAAATGCAGTAAATGCTTTCAACAGTATGTGGAGTTCACGGCATAGTCTTTAAAAGACGTTCAAGAGTTTTGAGGCACTGTGGTAAGGGTGGGAGCTGTGGGAACTAGAGCCAAACTGATTTATCGGCAGGCCGATATTATCGGCCGATATTAGGCATTTTCCAAACTATCGGTATCAGCAGTTATAATGGCTGATAAATGAATATTTTAAAAATAAAATAAAAACGGACGAAAAACGCTTCAACCATGTCATGAGTGTTGGAGTTGTATAGTTTGTCCACCAGAGGGCACTCTACGCCGTCCCTGTTGGCAACATAAGGCGCTTTTCCACTGCATAGTGCGGTACGGTTCGGCTCAGTACGCTTTGACTCGGCGCGGAACAGTTCGGCTCGCTTTGCATTTCCACTGCAGTAGTACCCCTTCAAAGTGTGTGGGAATGATCGATATTTGCGCGCGCTTCTACTGCCATGACATCATCTTAAAAGCGCCACATTTTCAAACCCACAACACAGGAACAATGGAGACTATCGAGGGGATGGTGTTCCTGATTCTCGGTATGTGGTTGTTTTTAACTGCTAGACGGAAAAATGTGTTTAAAATGAGGCTGATGGCAGCAAAACAAAAATACTGCTAAAAAAAGTGTCTCGTGTCGCAAATCCAATGATGCTAGTAGTGACGCTGGTAGTGACGATTCTGTCTGACCAATCAGTGATCTGCAGTGTTTCACGTCACATTTTAGTACCGGTACGGTACGCTTGGAACCTCAACAGACCAGGTACCATTTAAAGCGACCCGAAGCGAACCGTACTGTACCGTACCATGCAGTGGAAAAGCACCACAAGTGAGCCGTACCGAACCGAACCGTACCGTACTATGCAGTGGAAAAGCGCCAATACATTGCTGAACATCCCCATCAGTTCTCTTAACTCAAATAAGCATGACAAAATTTGTGACTATCATGTCCAGTTTTGCTGCTGTTAAATAAGCCGAGAGTAAAGCGGAATTAGCTAGTAATAATTACGTTACGTTGTTACAGTGTAGTTGACTGACTGTCCTTTTAACTTTTGACAATGTGACTGAAGTATTTCTTTAATAGCATGTGACCGTTATAGCAGTGAGTGAGACGTGTCATCTCTCCTTGTCAGGTAAATGTATTATTACAATGTCATGCTCCATTGAAAGATAATTAATGCAAACCATCAAATGTTCTAGAACAAAGAGGAAAATCTGTACGCGACATTATGAAATACATGAACTCCGCATTCACGGGTTGATCTGAGATACAGAAAAGGCCCTGATCTCTAGTTGCATTTCATCATATAGCCAGACCTCATTTCATATGTAAAACATGGGTTTACAGTGGAAATTTACTGTGTTCATCCACCAGACAAAGTGGGGGCAGAAGTTGACCATTCGCTAACAGTGGAAATTAGCATTGAGTTCACTCCTTCTGAGAGCAGGGGGGTTTACCCACCCACCTCCTTATCTAAAAACTCTTAAAAACCGTATTACCTTTTGTTTTACTTATTTGGAAATAGGACACTTGTACCAGTTGCACTTGTAGACATTTCAAATAACACATGTATAACTGTATGATGACCATATAGATTCTTGTGTGAGTGTGGTGATCTCTGCAAGAGTGGGGGATGCGGGGAGGAAGTGTGTGTGTGAGATGTTCAAAATGTTAATTTGCCGCAAGGTCTTTCGTCTCATAGACCATAAGTCATGCTACATACCTCATCAAACTCCTCGGTAAAACTCGGCAAACTTCGACAGTTCCGACGACCAACTTCAGCTGTGCATTTTACGTCATCAACCCGGACCTTAAATTCGAATCAGTTCGATCGATTAGTGAACCGGCTCGACTATTTACTTCGTGAGAACCGGTTCAAAAGAACGATTCGTTCACGAATCGAATATCCCTGACGGAACATTTTCGGAAAACAAAACATCAGAATCTAACCCTCTGTAACTCTCAAAAAGATCTGCTGACGAATGACAAATTAAAGTCAACCTGGCTTGAAAGTAACATGTGCAAATAAATGCCCGATAGCCCACCGAGGCTGAAGCCTGTGTCGAGAACTGGTGCTTCCCGCCGGAGCTCCGTTTAGTGAAATGACGTCAGCGGTGACGTTGGAAGCATCGTTTGAGTGCAGTCCTTTGAGAAGGGGCTTACATTTTGCGGAACGATATTTTTTTCCCCCTCTCAAGTTACACACAAGCACTTCCACATCTTTGTCAGTCCACCTTAATCACTTTCACTTTTATCCAGTCTAAAGAACTTCCCAATCCGTATGTTCAATAAAAGCACTGCCCAGTTACAAAATTCTGCAACATTATGAAACAACACTGACCATAAATACTTCCACACTTAATTCCTTCACCAACCATTATGTTCATTGACCAGCAGGTGTCAGACCAGAAGCCTTAGAACCACTGCTATTATTAAAGGAGATCCTCTGCTTTGAACACTAGAGAGCGATGATGTGCTTGTTGTTTTTGCAAAATATCCAATAGTATCCAGCAGAGCTTATCGTGTGTGATGATGATACTCTAACTAATTAAATAAATATTTTGTTAAAAATAAATTAAATGAGACTAAAATGAGAAAAGTAAATGCACAGTGAAGGGTGTGATTAATATTTATTAATGTACTCTAGATACATTTCCAAATCACAATCTAAAATATAATATTTTACTTGCATTTCTCATGTTATTATACTGGTTAACCACTAAATTAAATCAATTTCAGACATTGAAATTTCAGAAATTGAAAATTAAAACAATTTCAGACATTGTAATAACAGCAAAAGATAATGATACAAAGAGTGAAGACAAACCAGAAACATCCTGACAGAGAATGAATAAAACCAAAAGTGTATGAGATATTGTCCCGTATGAGCTTTAACATCAATTCCAGAAGATAAATACAAGACTTGATCAGCGTTTTTTAGGCACATTTTCATACACAGCATCCACCTTCGATTTCTGTAAGGAAACACAAACATCAGGACAACATTTGATGATGCGACAGAACTGTATGTTTTTCTCTGAATAACCTTGTGATTCTCTTAAAAATGAATGAATGAGGCATAGTGCTTTCACCAGTGTGAGCAACCACTATGATGAGACGGCATGCAGCCACAGTACGACGGCACCAGTGCGCTCAACACACACATACACACACAAGAGGCTATGAAGCAGCAAAAGGAAATGACATCAATCATGATTTTTGAAACGGTTAAATCATCAAACAGGTTTAGTAGTGCTGGTTTGCAGTCTCAGTCTGAGAATAACTGTCTTTTACTAAAGCAACAGCAGAGACTCTTGTTGCAGAACGTCTACAAAGAAAGCAATGTTTGCTAAAGCTGCGTCTCGCTCAGATACTGATGAACCGCAGAGACGCTGCAGCTCGAGCACACACTTCACCACAACATGAGGAACAACTCGGTGTCCTACATTCTCTCAGATTAAAGTTAATAGGCCACACCACAGGCTGGCTGTTGTAAATGTAACAGTCAAACGTTTTACAGGCTAGTCTATAAGTATAAACATCCATAACACATCATTCATGATATATGTGCATAAATAAACTTTCAGGCAGACAGCAGCATGTGAAAATAAAAATAGGCTGTACGTAATCTAAAGATGCGTCACGATGCAACAACCACTGATTATAATGATCTAGTATAGACAACCCAGCAACAGTGTCTGGTACACATGTGGGACGACACACTGGGAAATGGTACATACTACACAAACCCAGTGTAGACACGAGATCGACAGAGAAAGACAACATTTAACATTTTTAATAAAATTGTATTGTTTTTATTTCTTTGTAGGCGTCTCTACTTTATCTTTATCTGGCCTGTGGACGGGTCACTGTATGCATCCTCATGGGTAGTCGTCACTTCTTGTTGACCTCATTTTTTTATTGGTGGTTACTGTACATTGTAGTGGGGGAATCCGGCCCTAATTCAAATTAGAGCGAAAGCCCCATAAAAAGTAACAAAATCAAATTTATTTGTGTTTTATTGGTGATTTTTTTCTTCTTTAAAATAGAGTCTAGATTGCTGACGGATATATCCTCGATTCACTCAAAAAGTGTCCGGTCACATGTAAACAGCCCAATTGTTTCGGCGCCCAAATTTTACTGTATTTATTGAACTGTAAATACTGTATTTACAAGTTGTGAAAGCTATTTTATGTGGGTTTTGTTTTAATCGTGATTAAAGCAGAACGATTAACCTCCCCTCATTGCACCACGGCAAACACGGATGTTTGTCTCTGTTTCTCAGTTAGTAAAATTTCACTTGGCTAGTGTAGCCTATGTCTAAAGTAAAAAAAAATAATAATAAATTATAATATTAGTGACAAAGTCACCATTCACTTTTATTGTATGTGGTAAAAATGCAAAGAATGGTGACCGAGAACATTCAGCCTAAAACAATTTTATGTATACACTTTAATGTATAGCTAAGAACACTTTAATAATAATTAACAATGATAAAATATTACTTTAAATGACAAAAAATGCAATACATTTTAAAAAACTTTTTCTATTTATTATTATTTTTTTCAGTTCTGCAAAATGAAAATAGACGGGTAATGGAAAACACTGAGGTGCCGACAGTACACAAACGTAGTGTAAATAGCATAAAAACATCCCGAAAGTAAAAAATAAAATCAATCAATCAATCATTAATTACTCACCTACATGTCGTTCCAAATCTGTAAGACCTTTGTTCATATTCAGAACAAAAATTAAGATATTTTTGATGAAATCAGAGAGCTTTCCGACCCAAACTGCAACATATTCCCCACTTTCAAGGCCCAGAAAGGTAGTAAAGACATTGTTAAAATAATCAATGCGACTCCAGTGGTTCAACCATAATGTTCTGAAGTGAAAACAAACAAAAACAATGACTCTGTCATTCCCTACACTGTTGACATAACAATTAGCGTCAACCGCACATGTCGTGGTGCTCACATGACCAGCGTTGACCAGTGTGACGTGACAGAATGACGTGTAAGAGAAGAGATTGTTAAATAAAGTCAGTATTTTAGTACGTTTTTTTCATACAAAAACTATTCTAATCGCTTTATAACTTTAAAGTTGGACACTAGTCATGTGGATGATGTTATAAATGTCTTTACTACCTTTCTGGGCCTTTGAAGTAGTAATTAATTTGCAGTCTATAAAGGGGTCAGAAACCTCTCGGATTACATCAGAACACCAATTATGATATTTCTGAAGGACAGGAGAGTGAGTAATGACCGAATTTTAATTTTTGGGTGAACTGTCCCTTTAAACTATTGCTTATTTTGCATCTCTCTACCACCAAAGGTAATAATAATGACGGTTGAGTCGATAAACCACCCACTGTTCACTGGCCGTCTGATATTGCACACTTCAATCACACACACTGACTGCAAGCATCTTACCTTTTTACGTGTTGTTGGTTTACACAATGCTGAATCAGTTCTGTCCTCTTTCCGTGTCCGAACTGCTTTAACAACAATACAGATAAGTTAAAATGAGCCAAAAGATAAACATTTATACATTTAATTGCTTGCTCTTCTGAGCTGTTTTTCTACTTTTCTTACAGATGCAGCAGATCACGACTATAACCACAATCATCAGAGATCCAGCAGCAGAAGCAGAGATCAACACTATCAGAGACACTGACACTGGAGGACCTGAAGGAGAGGAAAAGTGAATGTGTCATTGTGTGATCTATATCAAAATCAGAGATCAGGTCAGTAAATTAATGCTGTACCTTCACATGTGTGACAGAGTGTGTTGATGTCCAGATGTGTGGTCCGATTGATGAATGAATACGCCACCACACAGCTGTAGGTGTTTTTATCCTGATATTCCACCTCCAGAGGTAGAGAGAGACTGATGCTGAGATCACACACACTGATGCTGGACAATACACTCATTCCTGCGTACCAGGACAGAGTCGCATCACACACACTCAACACTGATGATGAACACACCACTGAACAATTTGAAGAACAGTGTGAAGAGTTTCTGATGATGACAGGAACAGGCAGACGAGCTGAGAAACATGAGAGAATAAAGGAGAAATGTGAGTAAATCTAAACATCAATCTGGTGTAGTGTGTTACCGGTCAGTGAGTTTTTCCATCATCTCAAAATAATGAGCTCACATTTCATTATGTTAATAATTAAAGGAATATTCAGTTCAGAGTCGACAGCACGCATGAAGTTGATACCACAAAAAATAATGATGACTCGCCCCTTGATTTCTTTATTTTTTTCTTCTTTTTAAAAAAAAAAAAAAAAAAAGAGTAGAAATGTAGGTTATAGTGAACGTCTGGATGTCAATGGGGTCAATCTTTAAACACTAAAACACTTAAATTCTTAACTTTGTTGCTTTACAACACAACAATAAACCCTAAAACGCCTGGAAATGTTAAGATTTAAACCGCTTTAAAGCTCAAATAATACTATTTTGACAGTAGAATTAATCAATGTGTTTTTATGAAATTATAAGCTAAATATTGCCTTGTTAACTTCAATTGTAAGCGACTCGCCGTAACCTCTATTTTTAATTTAATTTCTTTATTTTAATTTCTTGACGAGTCAAATAATTTTTGTGGTACTCAAACTTATGCCACAAATGCTGATTCTGCTTAATTTCTAAACCAAAGATTATTTCCATAAAACAAGAATATGTGAACAATGTTTGAACAAATTATCTCTTCTCACCATAGACTGAAACGTTGAATGTTTTTGATGTCAGATTCACTCCATTTATCTCTAGTGTATAAACTCCAGTGTGTTCAGTTGTGGTGTGTGTGATGGTCAGAGATCCAGTTTGATTGTCCAGCTTCAGTCTGTCTCTGAATCTCCCATCAGGAACATCATCATATGTGTAAAAGAATCCATATTTTTTAAGGATTTCAGCTATAATGTACTTTTCAGCTCTATATTTCCACAGTATGTTTTCTTTATATATTTCAGTAAGATCAGTGTGTAGAGTAACAGAGTCTCCCTCCATCACGGACACCGACTGTATTTTATTTGTTTCGGCAGCAAACACACCTGGAGAAAAACATGAACATGATTAATTAATGCTGTTGGTTTAGAAAGCCTGAGATCAGTTTGTAAACTTTAAAAGCAGCAAAGACACCAAACCAAATGATATGTAACATGCATAAAAATACAATGTGTCAATAATTTGATCTTTAATGTACATTAAAGTAAATATGTCAAATTTCAAACAGTTAAACTATAAGTTTAATTCGGCTGGACTCTTTCTGTAACTCGTTATAGGAGACTCACTGAGAAGAGGCCAAAAGATATAAAAATAAATATGTGAATTTGCAAAAAATATTTCCGAATCTTTCTTTTTTTTCTAAAACGGAAATAAATGAAACCATTAAAATTAATTTATAACTTACCAATCAGAGAGCACAAACCGAACAATACAAACGTGCGAAGCATTTTCTCCAGTAGTTAAGTTCAGCGTAAACTGTGATCTAATAAGACTATCCGCTGAAAACACTGAAGCTGGTGTGTGAATCCTCCCACGACAGAGTTTGACCACCCTACTACTTCACACACACATACACACACACACTCATTACGCATGTTGTGATTTTATATATATTGTATATGTATTATATATGTATAATATATGTTCTTCTGTCTTTCCAGTACCAAAAACATTTTTTTTTACATTGATACAGAGAGGTAGTTTTCGACTGTCAAATATGTAAAAGAAAGATGAGTGGAAAACTGGATTAGACCACCGAAATTTAATGCTAAAATAAATATTATGGATTTCAGAATGTTTTTTTATAATCACTCAATTGTTGCAAATGGTTAATAATCTTCGCCATCACGCATTATTGCCTGTGTTACCTTGACACGAGCAGGTCTGAGTCAAACTGAAACCCGCTGTGGTCATTTATCTGGCTTGAACTCTTGACAGAATGCATAAGAACGGCCATTTGTTTGATGTGTGTTTAGTTTGCAGGTGAAGAGCATCTTCCTGTCCTGTTATGAAAAAAATATGTTTGAAAAACTGTCAAAAAAAAAACTTCTGTTTGGCAAGGTAGCATTCATCGATTCAATGTTTCATTTAAATTAATGTATTCATTTATACTGTTATCAGTCATTGCTTTAGCTTACAATAAAACCACAGTGTTACCTTATCATTACCGGTCATCATTCTAAATGCATGTAATTTGGTAAAGATGTCTAATATAATGGATGGTTCCTTTGATAAACACTGCAGGAGAGTCTTATGTCATATGGCGTACTTAACTTTGTTGTGTTATTCACTGATTAAAGTATTAAAACATTAAAACTACAAAGAGGAAATCTTAATGATCCCCTAAATTATGTGATTCATCCAATGTTTACCTTTCTGCTGCCAACCCTGCTTGTCTTCAAATCTGCTTTATTCTTTTATTCTTAAAACCGTCCATCTACAAAATCATCTTCGGCTGGGGAAATTCGAGACTAATATTAGTAAACTTAAGGTCTCTTTTGAAGATCAGTCTCATTGCCAGTCACTGCCTGAAATAAAAGTATTATACAAGGAAGAGACACTTCTAGTGTCATGTAGGGAGGCTATTGATCAAATGTCAATGGAAGAAATATGAAAAGCAAAATATAGTTGTTTGGTGTGATATAGTGGGTTTTATGTTTATTAACACATTTCATTATAGATCGATATTCTATCAATGCATTATAGAATTGGTATATTTATTTTTTATAATATTGTTTAAATATTTTTTTTATTATGCAGTAAACAACATGTACAGAACAATAAAACAAACAATACAAAGCCAGGGGAATAAAGAAAAGGAAAAAAAAAATTGTTTAAATATGTACGTGTGCTTTGCAGCGTGATGACGTCAGTAGGCGGCGCGTGCAGTCAGTCAGTGCTTCAAGTTCATTCAAAGTGAATATGACGAAGAAGCCATCACTGCAACGCGCGTTTTATTTCTTCTTTAATCTTTTTATACTTCTTTTCAGGTAACTAAACACGTCGGTTTTGATTAACATTGTTTAATCCAATACTAATGAGTTGTGCGATTTCAAAGCACTTTTTTTACTGAATTAAAAGTGTCGTGAGTTTGCTGTGCCCGAGCACATGGTTAGCATGGGTGTTTCGCGATTAGCGCGATGGCCCGCGATTCCTTATAAATGTTTATTAGGTCAACAAAGTTAATTGAGTGTATAAGAGTTCGTGATGTTGTTTCAGCATATGATGACTTACCTTAAACTTGCACATGTGGGTAAATGAACTCATTGACTGTTAACTGAGTTATGCATTTCATTAGTTTTAATGGTGACGGTAGATATATCAGACACAATGGAGTAAACATTGTTTAGACATGATATATTCATTTCTATTGTCATTTAGTGGTTAAGAGTAAATATTCAGTCTGAAAATGTTTTATTTTGTAAGAATATGATATTTTAGTGTCAACTGTAAATGCTACAAGTCTAGTGTTATGAGAAATGCTTGAAGTCACTTATGTTTAGAGCCAGTCATTACTGTGGAAAAAAAACGTGCACAGAGAATGTGTACGTTACGAGCATAGCCTTTTTATTTGGATAACAGGGAAATAGACCATCTAAGTTAAGTCAAAACAGCAACAGGCATTTAAAGAATTACTGAATGGGATGCTGATGCTCATTTAAAAATGATGGTATAGTCTAGCGCTACATCTACAATGACCAAGGTTAGGCATTTCATTTATTGCTATTCAATGATCATGTCAACCATGTCTGAATTTCCACAACGTCTGCTTTTGAATCAACTTACATGTTGGAATGTAGCTAGACTAGGCTACTACCGACGATGGGTTTCTTTTCCAAGCTGGCGTTGCCATAGGAACACTACTTTGCCGTCCGGAAGATCATCTGGTGAATTGTATTGGTAATAATTTAATACTCTTTTATTGGAAAAAAAAAAAAAATATATATATATATATATATATATATATATATATATATATATATATATATATATATATAAAAGTGCAAGTAAGATAGCCATGAAGGCCCACTGCATGATTCGGATGGTCCATGTTGAGATATTTGATCTCTTATGACTTTTAGTGCTACTGAAGAAAGGTTAGCCTACTTAAAGTCACTATAGGCGTCCATTTGACGTTACGTCGATTTTAAAATGGCGATGTCAACAAAGAAGCGGAACAGTTTCAGTTTCTAAATCTGCTGGCGTTTTTCGTAGAAACGGTGATGAACTTACTCATTTTCGTCCCAATGTGGGTTTTTCAACTTGGTAAGTTATGGGCTATTTTTTCCAAATAAAATTAGAACTCCAAGCTTGCTCCCTTTCAGGTGCTCTTTCGCCCTTAAAAGCACAAACTAAACATTCAAAGCGGGTAACGTTATTTTCAGACGTAAACAAGTTTTTTAATAGTGAATGCTATTGAAACGCAAAGGAGATCACTCGCTCTTATCCTTTTTGCAGTCTTTGCTCTTTTCATGCAGGGCGCGCGCACTTTGAGACGGCCAAACAGGAACCCAAGCCCGGGCTTTGAGGGCGCGCATCACAGTCTTTTTTATATTATTGAAACAGTATCAATTTACAAACTCAAATAGGGAGCAATACTATGCAGACAAAAATAACTCCATTCGTATATCCGTGCATATACGTCTATGCTTATATAGTTCGCGCGCAGCTGTCTCGCACAATCAATAACATTGTGTCAAAATGTCGATGTTGGGCGTGGCATTCAAGCAAACAGTCTGAAAAGTGAATTGAAAGTAACTTTTTGTGGCTATAAAACTTAATTCTGTCCCCCCAGCTTATTTTGTAGACAACTTTAAACACTCTTGCGCAACTCAACTCTTTCTCAGTTGTTTTTGCTTTCAAAGCACTGGCTAAATGCCTACTTCCTGAATATTTCTGGTTTTATTTACTTGGTAGACTAGTTTTTTTGATAGATTTCTTATATATATATATATATATATATATATATATATATATATATATATATATATATATATATATATATGACGAGTTCAGATGCAAAAGCCTCTAAATGCCATTTGAAATTTTCTTCTTGATTGATGATTTTTTATCAAACTTGTATATTTAAGTTCAGTAATTTACTTAAATAACAATTAATAGGTAATTATTGCCATTTAAGTGAAATCATTGAACTTAAATATACAAGCTTGATAAAAATGATCATTCTAGAAGAAAATTTCAAATGGCACTCTTCATATATATGGTTATCGGTTTGTTACTTTTTTAAAAGAAATTTAGCTTTATTTATTTTCCTTTATTTTTAGCAGCCTCTGGACACACAACTTGGATGTTATATCCTACACTAGTAAATTTGTCTCTCTTGTATTTTATTCAGCCAATGCTTTGCTTAATTTGAAATTGTGACATTAGTACTCAAATGTATTATGTAATATCTTATAATCGAACATGAATTGATTCAAATAAATAAAAAAACTACTTTTACCTTGTACTTGTTCACTCTAAAAAATGCTGGGTTGTTTTAACCCAATTTTGGGTCAAATATGGACAAACCCGAAATGTTGGGTTAAAAATGTAATGTAAAAATTTAACCCAACGGCTGGGTTAGTCCATATTTGACCCAAAGTTGGGTTAAAACAACCCAGCATTTTTTAGATTGTTCTTTATTCCCACTTTTTTGGAAGTGATTGAAAATGAATTGTTCATTTTTTCTTCAGGTGCATCGGCTGTTTATACAGACAGAGTGTCTGTGTTTGTGATGGAGGGAGATTCAGTCACTCTTAACACTGATGTTAAAACAAACCAACAAGAAAAGATTAAATGGTATTTTAATAATACTCGCATCGCTCAGATCAATGGAGATCTCAGTAAGATCTGTACAGATGTTCAGTGTAATAATGACACTGATAGATTTAGAGACAGACTGAAGCTGGATCATCAGACTGGATCTCTGACCATCACAAACATCACAAACACACACTCTGGAGAATATAAACTGCAGATCATCGGCAGCAATACCATCAGTGAAACGATCTTTAGTAAGACTGTGAATGGTGAGTCATTTAATAAGACTACGGTTATACACGCTTATTACACTTTCAGTTTCATCTGTTTCCTTTATTAGTTACCAGTTTGTTGTCATAGTTGCCTTCACATGTGTCATATTTTCTTGTGTATACCCTCAGTTCGATTTTCTTTGTAAGTTGTGCAAAGCTGTTATTTTCTCTGTTCTCTGTTCTATGCAGTTATCTTTGTGTTTTTTTTAAATAAACTATTTCTGCAAATAGATGTGTATCTTTTTCTTGTCTGCCTCACCTTAACATTCAGAGCTGTGCATTCTCTCTTTAGTTCCCACCCATCTCCCTTTCTCCTCCTGTATCTTCTGCATCTGATGCATTTTGTTTTCATATAAAATTCTGTTTAATTCACAAGTAGGCCTAGCCTAAAGTGCAGAAGATTTCTTGTTATAAAAAGATGTGTAAAATGTGTTTTGTAATTAGAAAAGTTGGATAAATTTTGCTTTACATAATAAAAGTCAAGAAAGAATGTGTGGTTGTGTGACCGTAATACATTTTCAGTGTTTGTTACTCTTATACCCATTGAGGTAATGTATGACTTCCTTGTTGCTGATCTTTTTATTGTTTTTTAAAAACATATAAAGCCAAGGCACTCAAGAATAAAGTGAATATTTATATATTTACATTCAGTTGATGCTTTTATCCAAAGTGACTTACAATTGCCATATATGTCGGAGATCGCACGCCCTGGAGCAACTAGGGGTTAAGTGTCTTGCTCAGGGACACATTGGTGTCTCACACCAAAGGCATGTGTCTTATCCACTGCGCCATCACCACACCCTCTCTCTCTCTCTCTCTCTCTATATATATATATATGTAACCCTGATGTATATATTTCCTGATGTATATATTTGTTATTTTCAATTTTTTTATATTTACTGAGGGTAAAATTGTGATAAAAGGTTTATTTTATTTTATTGTAATTTGAAATAAGTTTGGTGAATATGTATGTATTGTTTTTTTCATGCATATATTAGAGTTTGGTTGTGGTGTACATGTGGAAAACGTGTCAAACCTTAATTTGGGTTGTGAGTTAATGTGCATTGGTCAATTAAGAGACTGACAAGTTTGTAATCCAATCAGATTGGCAGAGGGGAGGGAAACCAAAAAAGAGAGTTCGAGAGAATTCGCGAGAGAAGTGGATGAAAAAGAATTCGAGAGAAAAAGGACGCAGTTTCAGCGATGTCTTGGAGTGTTTAAAACAAGAATCTGTTCTGTAATGAGAAGTACTGCTCGTATTTCTTCGCTAAGGAGGTGACTTGTTTTAACTTTGGACTGTTGCAAGTAAGTTTACTGTCATTGCATATTTGGCTCGGCCAGAGTTGAACGCTGTGCATGTTAGCATACTTTATGGACCGAAACTGTTGTCGTCATCTGCTTAAACCGAGTGGAGTTTCAGGATAAAGAGACGGACTTTCGTTTCCCGGGTTGGAGATGTCGGTGAGCGTCGTCCAGTGATCTGGGGAGAATCCGACGCGTTGGCCGGTTGTGCACGGAGACATTGCCGCACGCGGGACTCAGGAACATTTCAGTATGATGATGAATGCGAATGTGTTTCAACGCACCCTAGCAATCAGATTGAGGTAACCAGTTAACTAAAACAGTCTTTTTGTTTGCTCTCGTGAGCGAAGGGGCCAGTTTCGTTTTCTCGGCCACTACGCACTCAAGCTCCGAATCAGGCCTGCATCGGGGTGGGATGTGTTTAAACATTCAAGTGCACTAACAATATTGTAACTGTGTTTTTTCCCTTTTATTTTGATTGTATTTTTGAGTATTTGGAAAGTTTAAAAGGGTTAGAAAAGCTTGAAAAGCTATACAGAGCTATACAGTTAAGATTCAGGCTTAACTGGTTAACTTTAGTGAGTTAAATTCATTCAAACAGTGACTTAAAAGTTAAATTATACTGTGATACTGTACAACAGTGTTTAGTTGCTCTTAAAAGACAATCACAGAGGGTGTTTTGACATTTTATTTGGTTTGTTTTATTTACATTTGTCAAATTCTAATTTTATTTTATTCAATCACACTTAAATACAAAGTTTCAATTCTATTGACATTTAATACAAGTTTATTTGTTAAACATTTATTTCTGGGTGTGTGTGTCTTTTTGCAGTTAAAAAGAAATACAACTCGTGCGCTATAAGTAACCTGACGGCTTGTATAAAGTGATTCAGTGGAAGTTAATCTATTAGAAGACAGGGTAAAGGATCGTTAGAAATAAAAGAACTCAGGTCCCTATCAAAAAACTCTGACCTCGTGTAAATGGTTAGTGGATAGGGGTTACATATATATATATATATATATATCGACAAAATATATAATTATATATAACATTATATATTCACTTTAATCTAATCCTTAAATCTGAACTCTTACTTTATTTTAATGATTTTTAGAATTAGCGCACACGTACATCACAAAGACGATGTGTATGTTTACATCTGGAAGACGTATTTTTAGAGCGTTTTCACATCTGTCTCCTGTCAGATGTCGAATAGACGTTTAGAAGCTGTCTTTAAGATGTAATGATTTAGAATGCATGTTAAACTGACATCTTCTAAACGTCTATTTGACATCTGACAGGAGACGTCCTAGATGATCGAACACTCTTAAAAATACGTCTTCCAGATGTAAACATCACATCAAATAGACTTGCTATCTGGGATATAGTCTACCCTACAAAGTTAGGGTAATACACAACTTAAAATGTGATATTGCCTGCACAGCTCTTGTGTATAAAAATATGCTCTTGGAATAAATACATGTGGAAATAAATAAATAATTGGGTGAAAAAATACAATTATACATAAATAAGGAAATAGAAGTATAAATACTCATTTATTTGTACTTTTTACATACTGTATTTATTTATGTATGTTTTGCTTTTTTACAGTTCTTCGTATATGTATTTATTTATTTTTAATTAAGTTAGCTTTGGTATTCCACACTTTCCCCGATCTCCGATAAGCCACAAAGTCAACATTACTCATTTCAATGTAGGCATTACGGCATGTGTGGATTTCCAAAAAATATTTGAGTTGAGAATCAGCCTACCAGTATTGTTCAACTAAAACGTGTAAAATGTTGGTGTCAATAATTATGGAATAAGTTATAATTGTGTTAATATCGTATCATTATTTATGTCGATAAGTTATATTTCTGCGCGGTTGCCACTAGGGGGCGATTGTGTAAATCATAGTTATGAATGATCATCAGTGAAATGGAAAGTTATAAATATTTCCATTCATTTCCCAGTTTGATAATATTGAATAATGTATCTTATACATGCACAGAAGCATGTTTTCAGTTCTGTCTTGTTTCATGTTTTTACTAGTTTTTCTAACAGTAAAAAAAAAAAAGTTAATTTGTGTTTCAGATGTTCCTGCTGCAGAAACGAATAAAACGAAGACCAAGTCAGTGAAGGAGGGAGAATCTGTCACTTTTGATCCTGGTGTAGTGAAAAACCCAAATGATGTGATGACGTGGTATTTTAATGAAGCTCGAATCGCTGAAATCACTGGAGATCAGATTAAGATCTGTACAGATGTTCAGTGTGAAGAGAGATTCAGAGACAGACTGAAGCTGGATAATCAGACTGGATCTCTGACCATCACACACATCACAAACACACACTCTGGAGTTTATCATCTTGAGATCCTCAGCAGCAGATTCATCATCCACCGTCAGCACAGCATCAGCATTATCAGTGAGAAGAGCCTTAATGGGACTGTCACTTGTGAGTCAAATTCAGTTCATTTTCCCTTGAGCATGTTTAAAATATCATTAATAACATATTTCAATGTTGTTATGTTTTCATTGAGGCATATCTATAAAGTTTTAGTTTCTTTTAGTTTCTCTAATCAAGTTTTTAGGCGATAAAAACACCAGGTGGCGCCATTTATAAATATAAATATGTCATAAAGATGATGAAGGTGGAAAATCAGTCAAAAATATCCTTCCTGAAAAATCAGTTGTGGAGCTCAATTAATAATGCCTCTCTTTTTATTACAGATGTGATCGTGGGAGTTGCTTTTGCTGTTCTGCTGGTGTTAGCATGTGTATATGGTGAGCATTTCTGGTTGTGTGTTTTCTGTGTGTGTGATGAGGTTTCATACAGTCATTATTACATAAACACCTGACTATTTAAGGCAGTGGAAGTTGACTGGATATGATACAAAAATCCCCCTCAAAGTCCCATTATTTGTATTTTTAGCCATTTTAGAAACATCCAAATTCTTCCTGAATAATAATTTGAGCATGTTTCAATAAAAAAAAACACTGCATTCAAACATGTTTCATCACTTTAGTATAGAAATCACAATGTGATTCAGTTAATCAGATTCATTAGAGTCTTTGCATTTCTTTTTACTTCTGTGAATCTGTTTTCTTCCTTTAGGAAAGCGGTGTCGAAAAAATGACAAAAGGTTGCCCGTCTCCCACGCACAACATGTCATTTAAAGTACACATTTACACATTTACACATGAACTATCATTTGCATTTTGAAAGAATTTAAAAATGTGCCAGGAAAATGTAATAAAGCTAAAAATGAACCTTACATTCCATGTAATTTTACCGTTTTTCATGTAATTTTACCATTTTGGATGTAAAAAGGAAAAAATATCATTACAGCGAATACCCATGAAGTTTCATTCATATTTGGTGGTTTTTCAGACTAATAAATGTTTCTTGTTATTCATTTTTTTCTTTTCGGATATATAGCATTTACATAATAGTAAAACTTGTTAAATAAGTATAGAACTAGATTAAAAAGTTCGTCGAGACAAACTTTAAGTTGGCTTGTGAAAGTTTGTAACAGAAAGTTTAAAGTAGTTTGAAGAAGTTTAAAGTAGTTTGAAGTTTAAATTAGTCTAAAGTTTAAATTAATTTAAAGTTTAACTTTGTTTAAAGTAGTTTCTAGTTTGAAGTAGTTTCAAGTAATTTAAAGTTGCTATGGGTGTTTCTAGTGGGTTGCTAAGGTATTTTGGATAGATAGATGGCCTATGGCCTACGGTTGCTAGGGTGCTGTAACTGGTTGCTATGGTGTGAATTTAGAGTTTATGAGTTTAGAGTTTATAAGTTTAAATGACAAAGTGTCCAGAGTTTATTAATTTATGAGTTTAATAGTTTTATGAGAGTTTATAAGAGTATGAGTTTATGAATTTAGAGTTTATGAGTTTAGAGTTTATAAGTTTAAATGAGTCTTAGAGAGTTCAAGTTTAGAGTTTATTAATTTATTGTGAGTTTAAGAGTTTAAGATTAGATAGATAAGTGTCAGATTGATGAGTTCATTAGTTTAAATGAGTCTCAATGACTCGTATAGTGTATAGAATGACAGTTTGATTGAGTCTGGGGCTTCTGAGTTTGGAGTATGTGGAGTTAAAGCTCTAGGAGGAGATAGAGTCAGAAAATTTAGTCTAAGAAAAAGAATAATAATAAGTTTAAATAGCATTTCAGTAAGTTGGCTCTCACAAGCCAACTTAATTACATTATCGTCTGTTATGCTTGCTTTTTTTTTGTATGGCACTATGCACTTTCTATCCACAAGTTTCCGAGGGGCGCTCCTGTAAAAAATAAAGTGGGTGAAACTTCCGGTGAGGCGGCGGAAGTAGCATTCCAATGGTATTTTGTGTGTTAGTTAGCGAAGAGGCTAGCTGTTTTTCGGAGAATTATTTTACTATTTAAAGACGCAAATCTTTATGAGAGATGTCGTTACGGAGCTCAGGGGCAACATGTGCTGTTCGCGGTTGTATGTATAACCGGATTAAACTAGTTCAGTGGCTTAAACGTGATTGTTTTGAACATAAGCTGAAAACGAAATCAGAGTGATCCTGCCAACGACTGTAGTTTCCATCACCTCCCAAAAGACGACGAATCTTCCTGTGTACATTTGTTTAAATTCTTAATATTCTATCAAATTTTATCAGCATGTGTTTGGATGTTCTCTACTGATGTTACACCTAAACTCAGGATCAAAGCCTGTGTTGACAGAATACCAAATGTCCCAGTTAATGTATTCAAGTAACGTTAGCACATTCATTTATAATTTTGAATAAACTCCAAAGCACAATGACTAAGTGTGTATTTTTTATTTTAATTGTTTGTCAGCTCGCACAACTGTCTGTCACCATGCCTTGATGAGTATTGATTATTAATAATGTTATTATAATACTGCCAATCAACTACTGCGGAGGGTAAAGGTTAGTGATGTGACATTTGAAGCGAGGCGTCGGAGCTTGTGTCGAGCAAAAAGGGGCGTGCCAGATGAAGCCGCGATTCGAGGCTTGTGTTGTTAACGTGAAAATCACGTGACTGATGACAAACGAGGCCTCGGTTTGTGTGAAAACGTCATCGGTTCGGTCTGAGTGTCGTTTGTTCGAATCTCGCGCCACCTTGTGGGTGTTGTCAGGAGTAATTGAATCAGTAGCGTCAGGGAGTCAGAGTTAGAGAGATGTTTCATCGTCGTTATTGTGCAATATATGTGAACTTAGGGCTGTATATTATTACATTATTAGGTTAGATTATTTATAGTTTATTGTTAGTATTAATTATAGCTATATTATAGTATTGTTATATTAATTAGATAAGATTATTTTGATTGCTTTGGATTTGGACTGGACTGGTTTTTGATTTGGATTGCCCTTTTGGAATTGTTTGCTTTTTGCACCTAATCCTTTTTTCTTGTAATGGAGCCAGCAAGAAAGAGCTTATTATTATTTTACTGTCTTGATATAGCTAATAATCCTCACTATATGGCTGTATAATATTTAATGTCTAAGCCTGAACACACTTGAAAAAATTCTGTTCCTCAATAAAAATAATTTCTAATCCTTCCTTTGGTCCTCTACGTCCCCAGTCCCATAAGCACAACACAGCACAAAAATAGTAACAGTTCAATACACAAAATCACCAGAAACAATTCTTAACCTTTACCACACCACACTTTTCTGTTGCACTTTATTATTACACTCCCTCCACCATAAGCACTGCACTCAACAGTGTAACTTTTATTGTTCATACTGTCACTATCCAAATCATTTATGTGTGTGTGTGTGTGTGTGTGTGTGTGTGTGTGTGTGTGTGTGTGTGTGTGAGAGAGAGAGAGAGAGAGAGAGAGTTGTCTCTGTAGAAGTAAGTTCAGACAGAATATACATATTTTATTTTATTCCCAGGCAATGGACAAATGTCTGCTCAGGTATTTTTATTATTGCAAATGAAAGGTTACAGACATTAACAGTGAGAAGAAAAAAATAAAATAAAACAGGACAGGGGACATCATAAGTCTGCTCAGGTCATCGCTTCAGAATTAAATAATTTGTTTGCTATTTCTTTGCACAGTAGCTAGGTGTCACTAGTGAGCAATACTGAATGAAGCTTCGAGTAATGAACCTTTGAGTGAAGCAATGGGCTGCGAGGTCTCAGTGGTTCAGGAAGCCTCATTTTGCCATCACTAGTAAAGGTACTGTTATTTCAGCCTTTTTAATTTCGTTGAGGTTGTGTTCCCACATCGTTAGCTAGTTTGGATCGCTATAACTTGAATGACTGTCAACTATTGAATGAACGAGTGTCAAGCATGTCAAATCGTGCTTTGTTTACTTCAAAACGGAAGTCGCGCCCACTTTTGACGCAAGGCCTCATGGGGCGTAGGAAACTTGTGGATATATTTCTTATGTTCTGTCTTGCGTTATTGTAGTTCTTTGTTGTTTTTTCATGTTGATTAGTTTCACAGATGTTTCCCATGTATCACACCCTCTTATTGTTAAGTTAGTCGGTGTATATAGAGTATATATATATTATGTGTGGTGTTTCCTAGTGTGTTCTTGTTCTTTGTGTTTCCTTAGGCCTATGTGTTTTTTAAAGCATTCCTGCATTTAGATCCCCTCACCTGCACACCTTCATGACTGCATTAGTATTAATAAGCTACTTGTGATAAACTCAATGTTGATAAATCAATGTTTATTTCTTTTTACCGCTCATGTTACATGACACAACATGGCTTTGCTAATTTAGCAGAACAAGGATTTCCTGTTGGATTTATAATATATAGCCTATTTACACACATTACAAGTGTGATAAGTTTTGTCACGTCAGAGTTCAAAATTGACAAATATAATATAAATCAATGAGATTTCTGATTCTGTTTTGTAATAAACTGTTTTTTTTTAAATGATCTGTGCATATAAAGAGGTTTTATTTCATGATGAAATTTTATATATATATATATATATATATATATATATATATATAAACTCCTGTGCCTTCCCATGAGCAGAATAATTTTAGACATGTGTTTTTTTCTTTAACTTTGCACCAGCCCATAAAAATGGTATTTAATTTCTGAAACAAGCAACAATAACTTGTGAGAAATGTATAATAACTGTATTCTTTGAATGTTGAATTCCTAGTTTGAAAACTAGATGGCGCTGTAATACACAATAAATGCTTGTAGTTTAAAAACTGTATGTATTTATGAAATATCAAGAAAATTATAACAAGGACAAACCATTAAGTTATTATTGTTATTTTTACTATTGTCTTAAAGAAATGGCATCTATTTCTCCCACATGCACTGATGATTTTAGAGAGAGAACATGGAGGAAATATTTTAATGCTTGTGTGTAGGTTCCAAATTTTATGGTTTAGCAATGCATTTGATTTTCTTTTTTCTTATAAGTGGTAAACATTTTTAATTGCCATATAATAGACAACAAGTTACACATTACTTTAACTTATTTTGTTCAACTTCAAGTTATTGAAGACTCAACTCATTATTTTAAGTCAAATTAATGCAGTTTTAGTTTAATGACTTAAAATTAAATTTGACTACTTTAAAATTTAAGGCAACACATTTTTTTTTTTAAATTTAGGGGAGGAATAGGACAGGAAGAGATAATAATTTCGAGTGTTAGGTTTAGACACAATGGACTAAATCAAACTGTTCAAAATAGATAAAGATAAAGGAAATGTGATTTCTGTGGAGAAATAAGAGGAAACAGCTAAGCCAGGAAAGACAAAAACTAAGGAAGGCTGAAAATACGATGCAATTTCAAAGATTTTAGATATCATAATTTCTTGTTTCAATCCATTAGTGAGACTAATTTAAGTTTTTTGTGTGTGTGTGTGTGTGTGTGTGTGTGTGTGTGTGTGTGTGTGTGTGTGTGTGTAAACAACGGCCTACTATCTAGAGGTTATTGTCTAGTCCACACTCCACACCAGTTGATGGCGGAAATGCACCAGCTCGTTGTTTTGCTAACCGCTAACAAACCCGAGAAAAAGAAGTGGTCAAACTTTTTATTTATTTCACTTCCGATGGTGTGTGTGTCTACTTTTGTAGGTTATATTGAAGCATTAGATGGAGATACATTTTGAACCTCGGCACATTTAATGATTTTCATTTAATTGACAGAATGTTTTGTGTGACCGCCATAGACTGTAAAAAATGTTTTTGTGTGGCCGCGTGACGTCATAAACTACTCGAGTCCGTGTAAACTTGACCAAAACAGTCCTGTGCTGCAGACATGAATGACTCCTCAGTCTGTGTTTTCGAGAGGTAGCGTTAGGTAGGCCTACTAAAATCTACCAGAACACCTCACTAATACTTGCTAATGTTTCTTTCTACTAAAGTTAAATTGTTTATCATTTGTTATCACTCCTTCACCCCATCACTCGTGTCGTGTTCCCTGACCCTCAGTGCTGGAACTGGAGCAGGAGTGGATAACTTGAGCCCCATATATCCTCATATAATCATGCCTGAACTTCACCACTATCAAGGGAACATAAGGTGAGACTTTCTATCTGATAATGATTTCACAAGCTTTGTTTCAAGAGGTTAAGTTTGTTAGCAGCATTTAGTTTCTCCTCAGAACTTATGTTAACAAATTACCAACAACCATCAAACACACAAAAACAAATGTCAAGTCATACAGTGCATTTTTTCTCAAAAATTACACAAACACTGCCAGAAAACTGAATATAACCTTTATAAGAAATAAAAGGGATCAAAACTCTTGAATCTGCAGATTTAAGTTCTCACTCACACTGTAGCTTTCCGGCCATTTAATACTAATATAAATTATGTACAAAAGTGTATTTTCTGAAAAGCAACTGCACATAACAGCTGTTGTACCTTTCTGAGAGTATCACTGCTTAACTTAAATTTAAATTTTAAATTTAGCAGACGCTTTTATCCAAAGTGATGTACATCGTCCTGCACATAAAGTTTATAATATTTACATTTTTTATAAAAAAATATTTATTATAAAAAATATTTACAAACAGCGCTAATGAGTTTAGTATTTTTTAGTAAAGTCACGGCTTCCCTGTAGAGTCAACAGTTTCATGTGTGCGTTTTGAAAAATCCTTGCAACGACTTGCTGTTAACTCAGACTGACACCTCAGACACACTCGCACGACACACTGATGACACCTCAGACACACAGACGCTTTATTGACACCTCAGACACACGCGCTTTATTGACACCTCAGACACACAGGCGCTTTATTGACACCTCAGACAAATGCTAACAAACTGACATCAACTGCAAACATCCATCAGCACAAACCTTCTCATGCACTTAAGCTGTGTGTCTATCTAACAGATCACACCACATGTATATAAATGAATAAGGCCACTGCAGAGCTCACTTTGTCACCTTTGGATCACTAGTTTGAAACTAGTTTAAAAATGCTGCAATGGGCCACATGGTTTACATAATTAGTTTTAAGTCATTTAAAATGACTGAAATGAAATGTGGTGATTTCCCGTAAGCCCAAATCTAACCATTGACCGAGTCTGAGGTTGTTCAGGAGATTCGCAGTGAAATGATCACGCAATCTGGGTTTTGTATATAGAACAACATTTGTAGATCATCTTCTTAATTTTATTGGTGCGTATTCCACATGAACCTCCTCTTCAACTTTCTGTAAATATACATAACAGAAGGTATAATAATAATAATGTAATGTAATTTAGTTTTTTTAATTAATCTTTATAAACATCTGATGGTGCCGTTATGTTTCATATTTACTCTAGGCCTATGTGATAGATCGTCATACTTTGAAACACCAACACCGCCACATAAGAAAAAAATCATACATTATAGTTAAATCATAATTAGGACAAAATAGTAAATTTTAAAAATTTATGTCAAAATCAACATTTAATATAATAATTTTAACTTTTCACTGATATTTTTTACTTTTTGATCTCACAATTTTTATTTAGTATGTCATAATATAGTCTTTTTGTCATAACTATGATTTACCAGAGCATACTTTTTATTTATTATCTTGTAGAAATGGGCTTCAATATTACACTGACAAAATCAAAAGCACACAGTGATATATCTTATCTTAAATAATACAAATATTCAACAAAAAATAAATTGTCTTACCGAATTCGGTGGTTTTCTTTCTCTGAATGTCGTCTCAGTGTAAGTGATCTCCACTTCACAAGTCTCGACTGTATGAAATTATAGATGCATTAAAACAACAAAACTCCATCTTAACTAGATCTGATTCTTCTTCACAATATTTAGGTTATTATTAGGGATTTACAAGATAACAAAAAGAAACAATGAAAGTTTTTAAAAACGGCATTAACAAATTTGCCCTTAGGCCTGTAACTTTTTCCATACAAAAAATTCCTAAAAGTGTATTTATCATAAATCAAACCCTAATGGGATGTTTAACAAAGTTAACTATTATTTGTGTTTAATCAGAATTTAGGTTCAACAAGCACAACACAAGTCATCATTCATATAATATTCAGATTTTAGAGCACCAGCCACATCCTTACAGATTATATTTATAAAAATTAACTTCTCTGTTTTCGCATTTCCAGTGTTGATTTAGTTTGAGATTTTTTTTTTGTGTGTGTGTGTGTGTGTGTGTGTGAGATGAGTAAACAGCAATGCAGTATCATTTTTTAAAGTTAGAAATATACATTTATTATGACAATGAAAATTATGAGAATAATTTTTAATTAAATGATAAAATATCATTTGGCTAATAATTATAATTCAAACAATTATTTCTTATTTAACTTGTTTAAAAGGAGAAGATAATACTTGCCATCTTGATCAGTTTTTCTGTATTTCCAGCAGATCCAGAAGATCAAAAATCCTAAAAATAATGATCAGAGATCCAGCCGAGATCAACACTATCAGAAACACTGAGACTGGAGGAGGAAGATGAAGATGAGGAGGAGGAGGAGGAGGAGGAGGAGGAGACGGTCCGGATGTTGCTGTAATGATGAAGAAAGAGGTGAACACATCAGTGTGATCTACACCAGAAGACAGAGATCAGGTCAGTAAACACACACACACACACACACACACACACACACACACACACACACACACACACACACACACACACACACACACACACACACACACACACACACACACACACGCACACACACACATATCTGATGAGTGGTGGTGTACCTGCACATGTGTGTCTGCAGAGTGTGTTGATGTCCAGATGTGTGGTCTGGTTGCTGATGGGATTGTTCAGCACACAGCTGTAGGTGTTTTTATCCTGATATTCCACCTCCAGAGGTAGAGAGAGACTGATGCTGAGATCACACACACTGATGCTGGACAATACACTCATTCCTGCGTACCAGGACAGAGTCGCATCACACACACTCAACACTGATGATGAACACACCACTGAACAATTTGATGATGAAGAACATTGTGAAGAGTTACTGATGATGACAGGAACAGGCAGACGAGCTGAGAAAGATAAGGTAAATAAGCAGAAATATGGATAATTTTGGTTCATTGTGTTGATGAGCAGTGATTATGTCTGTCCTCCTAAACTATTACAAATATTTAAATATGTAAATGCATGTAAATGGATAATAAAACAAGAAGCACAGCAGGAATTCATCATCTCACCATAGACAGAAACACTGAATGTTTTTGATGTCAGATTCACTCTCCTTATCACTAGTGTATAAACTCCAGTGTGTTCAGTTGTGGTGTGTGTGATGGTCAGAGATCCAGTTTGATCGTCCAGCTTCAGTCTGTCTCTGAATCTCCCATCAGGACCATCATCATATGTGGAGAAGAATCCATATCATATGATGATTTCAGCTATAATGTGCTTTTGTGCTCCGTATTTCCACAGTATGTCGTCGTCTTCATGTATGTCAGTGAGATCAGTGTTTAGAGTAACAGAATCTCCCTCCATCACTGACACCGACTGTATTTCATTTGTTTCGGCAGCACACACACCTGGAGAACATGAACAAGTTTCAGATTTATGCTCATATATGATAAATTAAATTTAGCTAGAAAGTACAAGTTTAAATATGCTGAATATATTCAACACATGTTTTATTACTGAATTTGACTTTTGTAGTTGTTTATGATTACTGCAGAAGTGTTTAAAATGATTGAAATTATTATTATAATTTTTTTATTTCGGATTTGCATTTGTAATCGTTTAAATTAAAATATCAGAAACAACAAGAGAGATTTGATCACGGCAGATGAAAATAATCTAATGTGAACTGCAGCAGGAGTTTATTACTATGAGATATGAATATTTATAACTTACCGATCAGACGGCAGAAGCACAAACTGAACAAAACAAACACGTGAAACATTTCCTGATGTAAAAACACGAGCAAAACTGATCTAAACAAACACAACAGATGTAATGTGGCGTCTGAGCAAGTCCTCACTCGACAGAGTCTGACCCTCCTATTACACACACACACACACACACACACACGCACACAAATAATATACATGATTTAAAAAACTCCTTGCTGAGACTCAATTTCCCAGCATGCACTGCGGCAGGAATGAATGATGTAGATACTGTGAGTGAATCTCGTTGTTTTTTACTGTTCCTCATTATGAGCAGATCCTCGTCTTTCCAAAGCCGATTGAAACTGAATTATTCCAACTTTAGTTTTATAATTGTTTTAATAGATTTAAAATGATGCATTCAAACTCCACTTTCCTGACTGTGTTAAATATTTAAAAATAGAAGAATATTGTCTGAATATTGGATTAATTACTATTCATGGTAAAATAAAAACTCTAGTGATTTTAAAATTGTTGTTTATTTATTCAGTTCTCAATTTTAATCATATATACATAAAGGGAAAATGTAGAGAGTTAAAAGTGTGTGATCTGCAGTTTTAGTGATGTTCGAGTCAGACTGAAACTGCGGTGGGTTTTCTTCAGAAATGTTGTTTGATCTGTTGGTGGACACACACATCTTAGGTGAGAAAATGGCCATCAGAGCTGGTGTGTGTGTGTGTGTTTAGTTTGAAGGTGAAGAGCGTCTTCCTGTCCTGCTTTTTAATCTACACAAACATGTTGACAAACTGAGGGAGAAAAGCAATACACACACTATGATCATATAACACTGCCATTCAATAGTTTAGCTATTATCTTTTATATTACGTTAGAGAAAAAACACACATTTTATACATTCGTGTACTCAGTTTCGTCTGAGGTGCTTTATTATTACAGGTGTAAATGTCAACATGCATGCAGTAATTTTACACAGTTTTCTTTTTCTGTTGTTTATGATCTGACTAAAGACATTTCTAGAGGTTTATTGAGTACAATCTCACGATGATGAAAGACTTACTGCAGGTTTGCAATGATCTCTTGGACATATGAATGCAGTGTGTGAATCAGGATGTGGTTTGTAAAGTTGTTGAAGGTCTAGAGACTCATGCATGTTAATCTGAGAATGAAAGTGTGAATCAATGATGTTCTTCTGCTGTTTGTTTGCATGCTTTACATTTACCCAGCAATACAAACCCAGCGAGTAATCAACTTTAAAAGCATTATTTAATAGGCCTACAGTATATTTATACACTAGAAGATGCTCTAATATGCATATGGCTTAATATATGTTCATTGTGTTGTCAAATCTCAACATTTACACTTGCTGGACGATAAACAGGTGAAAAACATCCCACAGACTCAAAGTGAAGGAGAACCTGAGCATATCTGGAGACTATAGGAGAGATCGACTCGTTTGTTTATGAAAATTACTACATTTGTTCATTGCTTACATTATAGAATTGACAAAAACAGGATATGATCTTTATTTATATATATATATATATACATACATATGTGTGTGTGTGTGAGTGTGAAAAAAAGGTGTTAAGAAGCTGCTGCTACTCTTGCAGGAAATAAGTCGCTACTGAAAGTAAAAAAAAAAAGTCCTGTGTATCAAAGCATGAGTCGCTATATATGAGATAATTATGAATATTCCCTTAAATATCAATCTTAATACCACAGACTCGTAGAAGTTTCCTATAGTGAAATGATCCCACAGCTGTATCAGCCTACTTTATATTGAAATATTGAATCATCTTCTTCTGCTGACAGACACACACTCTGTGATTCTCCTCTTCAGCGTTCTGTGAAAAACACGTCACACAACATATAAGATATTTCAAAATATCGAAAACAAAAAGCAAATATTAGCATGAACCGCAAAGTCCTAACTAAATCAGATCAACACGAGCTAAATGGGAAAACTGATGATTTTGTAAATACCTAAATAATAATAGATTACTATTGTATTAATATTATCCTGAACTGAAGAGTTTCATGCATGAATCTGTGTCTGAATACAGTTTGAGTTTCTTCTCCGTATAAAATTTAATGAGTTTAGTTTTTGTCCTTTCTCTTGCACAGTTATACGGTTATTTTATTAATTTTCCTCTGCTCGCCACCGTCTGTGACGCATAATATTTGATTAATTTATTATAATAAAATATCTTGCAATCATTTTGTGTTAATTAATTGCTTTGAAATTACTTACTTGCTAGTAATATGTAATGTGAAAGAAATAACACAGTCTCATCCCAAGAAGTCATATAACTGACGTCTTGGGACGTCTTTTGACCATACGTCAACATCCGCCTTTTTAGGGCCCCCTTAAACGTCGGTTACAAGACGATCCCAGGCTGTCATACAACTGACGCTTTACCTTTAATGTCGGTTAGGTGACGGGGTAGGTTTAGGGGTAGGTTTAGGTCTGGGGTAGAGTTAGGATCCGATAACGTCATATAACCGACGTTTAAGGGTACCCTAAAAAGGCGGATGTTGACGTATGGTTATATGTCAGTTATATGACGTCTTGGGATGAGACTGCGATGAAAGAAACATAATCTGTTAAAATAGGAGCTACAATACACTCTTTTTAATTTACCTCTGTGTTACATCAGAGCCACAGGATGATAAATCAACTATAGATTAATTTTCCTGAAATGTTTATAAATCAACGATACAACATTAACAGTAAAATGGCTTATTTTGGATTTACATTAAAATGAGACAAACACACACAACAGAAACTAATGATAAATGATCTTACCGATGTTCGTGTATCTTTCATTGAACGATGGATGAAGTGACATAACAACACAAGTTTTCTCATCTTCACGAATCTGAACTGTTTGAACAACAGGAAGAGATTAAAACTACAAATCTCGATCTGTTTTATTTCTTCTAATATGTGTGATTGGGATGCCAAAGTTATTGAACATAACAAATTAAATATATTTAATAATGAAATTTTAAACATAGCAATATGGAATTTCACATTATTGCTTTTCACACACAAAACATCACTATTACTATCTTTAGATAAACATAATTTAGAGTAGATTTTATTATTTATTATCATCTGTTAACACTTGTTAAAAGCAGGAAACTCTTGCCTTCTCGATCTGTTTTTGTGTGTTTCCTGCAGATCCAGAAGATCCAAAATCCAGCAACAATCATCAAAGATCCAGCCGAGATCAACACTATCAGAGACACTGGAGGAGTGTGTGTGTCTGTGTAATGATGAAGAAAGAAGTGAACACATCAATGTGATCTACACCAGAAGACAGAGATCAGGTCAGTAAACACACACACACACACACACACACACACACACACACACGCACACACACACACACACACACACACATATCTGATGAGTGGTGGTGTACCTGCACATGTGTGTCTGCAGAGTGTGTTGATGTCCAGATGTGTGGTCTGCTTGCTGATGGGATTGTTCAGCACACAGCTGTAGGTGTTTTTATCCTGATATTCCACCTCCAGAGGTAGAGAGAGACTGATGCTGAGATCACACACACTGATGCTGGACAATACACTCATTCCTGCGTACCAGGACAGAGTCGCATCACACACACTCAACACTGATGATGAACACACCACTGAACATGATGATGATGATGATGATGAACAGTTTCTACTGATGACAGGAACAGGCAGACGAGCTGAGAAACATGAGAGAATAAAGAGAGATATGAATATTAACAATCAGTCTATTTTAGGTGTTGTGAATTGTAGTTTGTGTTGAGTGAGTGTTTAGTGTTTAACTGTCACTGAATGTGTCTGTCAGCTCAGACTGTACAATTACAGTATTTAATGTATGAATGTATGTAAACAGATTATGTACAAGTTTAGATAAATTACATCTCCACTCACCATAGACAGAAACATTGAATGTTTTTGATGTCACTTTTGCTCCAGTTATCTCTAGTCTATAAACTCCAGTGTGTTCAGTTGTGGTGTGTGTGATGGTCAGAGATCCAGTTTGATCGTCCAGTTTCAGTCTGTCTCTGAATCTCCCATCAGGAACATCATCATATGTGGAGAAGACATTAGTCTCAATGCTGATTTGAGCTATCAGAGAGTTTTCAGCTCCATATTTCCACAGTATATCTTCATCTTTATGTATTTCATTGAGATCAGTGTTTAGAGTAACAGAATCTTCCTCCATCACTGACACAGAATCACCAAACACACCTGATGAACACACAGATTTACAAAGATTAATGTTTCTGAAAGCCTGAAATCAGTTGTTAGATGTGAAGGTGAGAACATCCAGAACAAGGCAGAAACACAAAACTAAATGAAAGGTGAGATTTAGTTTGTTAAAGCACATGTGTGTTTAACACAAATTAACAAATCAGGGATTATAATTCTAATATGTGATTAAAACATTAATCTACGGTTCATTTTGTCCATCATGTTGGATTCACCATTATAATTAAACATCATCAATCATTATCAATAATATTTAATTTCCTTTTTACCAGAAACTTTCTCTCTAACTCTTTATAAAGGAAATAATGTGTAAAATATATTTATAAACTGCTAACGTTACTGAGAGCTAACATTGCAGCAGCACTCATGAATTGCCTAGAAATACAGTATATTTATATGTGTATGGACTGATATGGCAGCAGAATTTATGGGACAAAAAGGAAAGATAACCACCTTTAGTATATGTTAGTGTCTTATACCCCAAATTTGTAATTATTATTATTATACTTTTACAAATGCCCATTTAAAAAAAGCAAATACAATGCATTGGATTTTCACACAAGATAAAATTATCTGATATAGAGGAAAATCCGTGTTTAAAGTTAGATAATTTATCGAAAATCAATACAAGATAATTAACCTTAAAAAAATACAAGTTTTACAGAACTGGATATTTTTAGTATATATATTTTCAAATAGATGAGATGCATTTTGACAATGAATTTCCATGTCTTTTGTAGTGTATTATTGAATTCAAAGTTAGTAGATTTCACAATATTCACGATTGATTTTAACAGCAGATAAAACTCTAATTTGAATATTAGCATCTTAGCTTCACCGCTTTGAAATTGAATAAAATGTTTTAATAACTCACCAGTCAGACTCCTGCAGCA